GCAATTTTAATGAAGCAAAGCTCGCTTGTTGTGTGTGTGTGTGTGTGTGTGCGGTCACATAACCTCACAATACACAAAAGGATACCACCAAAATATCCCTTCGACCCAATTCCCATGGCGAAATCCCATTGATTTGAAATGAAATATAAACAGAGCAAATTTAAAAAGAATACAAAATAGTAAAAAAAAAAAGTCGAAAAAAAGCGCAGCCAATATGCAAAATAGTAGAAACAACAATAACAAAACGAGCGTGTGAGTGTGTCAGGATAAAAATAGAAAAAAACGCAACAGAGCAGCGCACATGCGAAATGCAACAACAGCAATGCTACAACGGCCATAAAACGAAAATAAAACTTACATAAATTTAGAAGTCTTGGCTGGCAGTCGCGTTTGTGTCGCACTGCTGCTCCCAAAACGCACTTTATTTTTGGAAAAACGAGCAACGAGAAGCCAAAAAAACAAAATAAAATGAATAAAGCAAAAAAGCACGAATGACGCAGCAACAGGCGAATCAGTTTTATAGACACGCCAAGCAAATCCACAACAAACAATTTGGCCATAAGTGCACTCTCACTTCACTCAATGGTCGCAGTGTGACCAGGTGCACCTATTGCGCAATCAGTGTTACCAGTTTCGGGTTGAAGGCTTCCCCCCCTCAATAGACCGTTAAAAAAATACACTGAACCGCCGATCAATATAATTCTATCGACAAAGCCGCAGAGTGAGTCTCGTTATGCGGCTGAAATTCTGGACAGCAGCTGCCGCATTTCTAAGCAAGTTGGAGCATATAAAAATAATAAAAACAAAAGGAAATAAATAAATAATATGAAAGAAAGCTAACTTTGCGAAGCCGAAGGTTGCTTACTCTTACAGTTTGCGATTAAATTATGGAATTCTATCAGAAATTCATTCATTCTTTGAATAAATATTTATAGATAATTTTATATGGCAATTTGATCTATAAATCAAAGTTTAAAAGACTCATAACTAACTCAAAAATGCATTAAATTCAATTCGGAAAGCTGTTCTGTTCTAGTTTTTAAGAGGTTAATAAATCTGCATACTTAAATTACACCTTTAAACTATTTGAATTTTTGTCGATTTTTCAAAATGCTAACAATGAAGAAAACGTCTTAAAAATTGTGTAAAAAAATTTTCAAAAATTTTCTTCTCTCTTTTATTGCTAGAAAGATTGGCCTGTTTATGCTGATCAAGAATATATATGGATTATAGGATCGGAAATGACTCCTTCACCTTTTTTAAGCTTCTGACTGAAGTTAAAATACCATTTTTTGAGTCGATTCTTCAATATTTTAAAAGGACAATTTATTCTAAAAATTAAAGCTTAAAAAACTCATAACTAAGTCAAAAATTCATTAAATTCAATTCGGAAAGCTGTTCTGTTCTAGTTTTTAATAGGTTATTAAATCTGCATACTTAAATTACACCTTTAAACTATTTGAATTTTTGTCGATTTTTCAAAATGCTAACAATGAAAAAAAGACGTCTAAAAAATTGTGGAAAAAAATGTTCAAAAATGTTGTTCTTTCTTTTATTGCTAGAAAGATTCGCCTGTTTATGCTGATCAAGAATATATATGGATTATAGGATCGGAAATGACTCCTTCACCTTTTTTAAGCTTCTGACTGAAGTTAAAATACCATTTTTTGAGTAGATATTTCGATATTTTAATATGACAATTTGTTCTACAAATCAAAGTTTAAAAAACTCATAACTAAGTCAAAAATGCATTAATTTTAATTCAGAAACCGTTCCTATGCTAGTTTTTAATAGGTTAACAAATCTGTATACTAAGTTTAGAAAATTAAATAAATCGAAAATTGTTCAATTTTTAACAATTTTAACGATGTAACCCCTTATAAAATTTTGAAAAAAATTTAAAAAAAATAATTTTCTCCCCAAGAAAGACTTCTCGATTTAGCTCTTTTTTCTGATCAAGAATATATTTGATTTATACGGTCGATGATTCCTTTGCTGCGTTACAAGCTTCTGACTCAAATTATAATACCCTGTAAAGGGTATTAAAATAAAGCGAGGGAAAACAGAAACAGTTGGCGGCTTAAAGTATGTGAAGCATCCAAAGGGGGTGGGAAAGCAAGAGGAAATAACAACCGAAAAATGGAAAAACAAACAACAACAAGGATATCACAAGTATGCACTCAAAGAAACACCCGGAACCTGCAAGATACAATTTTTAATCAAATTTTGAATCATTGAAAAATGTATATAATCTTGAGAAACCGAAATATGATTATTAAAAATATTATTTAAATAGAAAACGTTATGGTACATTTGTATATTTAAAATATATTCTATGTTATATTGAGAATTATATTATAAAATTTAAATAGATAGAAATTCTGTGTGTGCACAACTGAAGAGGAATGGGAAGTTGGGGCAGGGGCAGGATGCCTCTGGTGAGTCGTAAAATTGCGCAAACAGGACTCTCTCTTCTCCAGGCTCTTCGTCCTCCTCTGGCTCGTGTTTAGAGAGATGTGTGTGTGTGTGTTAGGAGGGGGAATGGGTGGGGGGAGGTAGAAGACACAAGAAGCTGGCCAAATTAAATACAGCAATTTTGCAAAACGAATGGCACGCGCAAAGCAACAGCGAATAATAATATGAAGGAAGTGCGCAAAAGGAAGCTGTGAAGCAGAGGGGGAAGCGCCCCTCCCCAACCCAAAAAGGGAAGAGAAGGCGGAAGGGGGACGACCTTGGGATGTTCTGGGAACAAACGCATATTTTCTCTCGGTTTCTTTTGTTTGCTCTGAATTTTTGTAGTTTTTCTCCAGGATTCAGTTTATCCTTTTGTACTGGTTTTTCGGATATTTTTTTATGCGTAAAAAGCCTGCAAACATGTCGAAAGCTGCTGTTGCAATTTTTGGTTTCTTCGCGAGAAAAAAGAGGCCCGAAAAATATTTGCACACAAAGCGAAGGCCGTAAACTATAAGACTGGAGTGCACCGAAAAAAAATGATAAATATAGCATTATAATTTACAGAAAATACTAAAGAAGGTGTTTAAAACAAAAAGGGAATTTAAAGTTTAAATACCCTTGAAATTTGATTATAGAAATTACCATAACTAAGCCAAAAATACCTTAATTTCAATTCGGAAAGCAATTCTGTGCTAGTTTTTTAAAGGTAAACAAATATGTATACCGAATGTAGAAATTTTGAAAACTAAATTTTTTTGTAAAATTTTGTAAAATTTTAATGATGCAACCTCTTAAAAAATTTTGAAAAAATTTCAAAAATTTATTTTTGTTTCCTAAATACCTAGAAAGATTCGCCTGTTGATGCTGATCAAGAATATATATACTTTATAGGGTCGGAAATGACTTCTTCACTGCTTTTTAAGCTTTTGACTAAAAATATAATACCCTGCAAGGGTAATATGGTTTTTAAACCCTACATTTTTAACCAGACTCTTTATATTATTTAAAGTCCCTCTATTTTCTCTCAGTTGAATAAAATATGCAAGTTACTGTCCTTTTTTGGAGAGTCAGTAGCGGCAGGGACCGAGGCTAAACTGGACACAAAATGTTTATGAGCACTTTAGCTTGGCCACGGAGGACGGCTCCCTGAAAGCGGGATCAGAAGTCAGGGCATACCACCCACTCTTGCCACTACTGCCACTCCTGCCACACTTGCTACACAGTCCTTTATACGGCCACAGTCCCCGCCCGGTCATCAGCAGCATCATTCACATTTACGAGCCAGCGAAGGCTGTTGCTTCCACCAGCCAAAAAAAAAAGAAGGAAAACAACAAAAAAAAAAAAAAGGAAGGCATGTCCTTCGGGGGTGGAATTCGTTGCTTTCGGTACTATCCTGTCCGTCCTGCCTTCCTCCCTCCCCTTGATTACTGTCAATGATTTGCTTTTGGCCCCATAAAATGCAAGAAAATTGAATTATTTTTCGCAATTATGTGTCACAGAAAAAGGGACGCCAAAGGGAATCCGCAAATTATTTTAAGGGAGCACCCAAAAAAAAAAATATCCCTAAAAGTTGTACAATTTTAAAGGACAGATGAAAAAATTCTTCTTAAAAACTTGGCAAAAAGTTTCTTTTAACAATTTAAAAGACATTTCTGAGATAAACATTGGTGGAAAGTCGACTATTTCTATTAATCAGATTGTTTTAGACTTAGAAAGACCTTTAATTTGGCCAATATAGCTCTGAGTAGTTACCAAAAAATAGTATAATAGTATATAATAGCACTAAGTCGTCACTAAAAGTTGTATCATTTTAAAATTGTCTCAAAACCTTGCCAAATAATTTGTTTAAACAATTTAATAAACATTTCTCAGTTAAACTTTGGTATGAAGTGGAAAATACTTTCAATCAGATCGTTTGAGAGCTAAAAGGGCCTTTAATTTAATCAATTCTTTTAATCAAATTGTTTTAGACTTAAAAAGACGTTTAAATTGGCCAATAAAGCACTAAGCAGTTTCCAAAAAATATCCTTTAAAGTTGTATAATTTTTAATTTGTCTCAAAATCTTGCCAAATAATTTATTTAAACAATTTAAAAACACATTTCTGAGTTAAACTTTGATGTAAAGTATAAAAAACTACTTTTAATCAGATCGTTTGAGAGCTAAAAGGGCCTTTAATTTAATCAATTCTTGTAAACTGATTGTTTTAGACTAAAAACGACCTTTAATTTGGCCAAGAAAGCACTAAATAGTAACCAAAAAATATTCCTTAAAGTTTAATCATTTTAAATTTGCTTCAAAACCTTAAAAAATAATTTCTTTAAACAATTTTAAAAACCATTTCTGTGTTATGCATCAGTGTAAAGTGTATAATACTTTCAATCAAATCGTTTGAGAGCTAAAAGGGCCTTTAATTTGACCAACAAAACACTAAGTAGCCAAGTGTTATTCAAGTGGACCAGGCTAATGAAGTGTATATAACGATAACGAGGGTGGTTTTAAAGGTATATATATATATATGTATGAACTGTAATCATTGAAACTCACCTGGCTGCGCCACTTGCGATAGTTTGTATATATGTGTTTATTATTTATTATGTTTAGTTATTTTTTTTTATTGATAATAGTTTTGCAATTAGAATTGTTTTGAATATCCGTAGTTGTTGAGAGCGAAGGACAGGCGAGGGGGGGAAACGAGAATTTCTGCAACGGCCCTCGACTGAGACACTCTGCATTCATTTATCCGACTTTAAGGCCCATTTTTTACAACTTTTCTTTACTCTCTCTTCTCCTTTCATCTATTCATCAGTTAGATCTTTTGGCAGTAAATATATATATATATATTTATATATGTAGAGAGAGAGTGGGGGAGTTGGGTGAAGGACATTTGGAGAAAAAAATAAACAAAAATATAATGATTGATATTATATTTAGATATATATGCACATATATATCTAATCAGAACACACACACACGCGCGCACGCACACACACACGACGGAAACGGAAGTGTAAGCACTCGCGAAACTGAAACCGAGAAACGGGAATACGAAACTCGCGATTATTCGATTTGATTTTGCCGATTATTTGGATCGATTTGAATGGCTCTCTTTTCTTCGCTTTTTATTTCAGGACATTCCTGCTGTGCCTCCTGCCTCCTTATAACCGGTATCTCGTTAATTTGGCTTATTTGCCAGCGTTGTTTCCTCCTCAATGGCCCCCATCCATTTGGACACTTCCAGCTCATTTGGCGCGGGGATTGCGGATTGCGGACTGCGGATTGCGTATCCTGCGGCGCCAGTTCCAACTCCTGCAAAAAAAATGGTGGGAAAAAAAACGAAAAAATAAGGAAACGGAAATTCTTTTTTACGGCTTTTCAATAAATTTGCAACAAATTATGGTCTGTGTGCGAGTGTGTGGATGGAGTGTTTGCCGGGGTATTGGTGTTTGGAACTTGAAAATGTCGAAATAAACCCAGGATTGGTATAAATCAAGAGCTGCTTTTTTTTATTAGAAAAGGTAATTAGCAGGTAAGTTAAAGAATAACTAAAGATCTCTCTAAAATATACATATCTTTAATTTCTTTCTTAATATTTGTTTAATTTCTTAAAGAAAAAATCTAGGAAAATCTATAAACTACATTAACTTTTACTAAAGGATTCTTCTCCTCTTCCTTTCATTAATATTTTGTTTAATTTCTAAAAAAAAAAAATTAAGGAAAATCAATACAACTAACTTTCACTTAAAACTTAAAAAGAACTTCAAGAACTTTTTCCCTTCTTTTGATTAATTATACATTTTGTAAAATACTTTATATTCCAAATATTCCTTTCTTTCTTTGGTTTAAATTCTAAAAGAAAAAATCAAGAAAAATCTATATAATTCCCTTTAACTTTAAGCTTAAAATTCTTCAAGAACTTTTGCTCTTCTTTTGATTAATTACACATTACACATAAACTTTTTATTCCAAATATTTAAATCAGAATTAGGAAAACTTTTCATTAAAGTTCCACAGATTTTCATCCGCAGAATTCTTTACATTTTTTTATATTTACTTATTTTTCTGCCCTTATTTGTTGGGTCCCAAAAAGATCTAAAGAATATATTGTGTGTGTGTGTGGAATCTGAGGAACTTTTCTGTGGATTTTCAAGACATCACTTTATATATATATATATATATAAGTATAAGGATTCTTGGGCTGATTTATTTGGCTCTAGCTTTAGAAAAGCAGGTATCTGGCTTAGCTCCTGCTCGCTGCGTTTTATTACTTTATCCTTTATCCTTTACCCATATTGGCCCACGTTTTCCTTCGTAATGGTTTTTTATTTTTGCCATCCAAACTCATTTTGTTGATGTTCTCCGCAAGGCTTTTTAAACTTGTCATACATTTTGATAAAGAATTCGCCTTGTTCCCTCGAGGGCCTGGGATGTTGTCAGCACCACCAGCACCACCTTGAGCACCACCTCCCACTCCCACTCCCACTCCCCCCCCCCCCCCTTTGCAGCCTCATTTTCCACTCACCTGAGAGCAGTGTCGCCGCCCCCTCTTAACAGAGAGAGAGAGAGAGAGTTCCCCCCTTTTTTGACTCCACTGTTGATGCGGCGTGCAAAATTTTGCACATTCAACGGAAAAGGAGGGGGAAATCCCTCGCTTTCTCAGTTTTTAGCCCTTCCCCCCCCCCACTCTCCTCCCCCCTCTGGTCTTTAACCAAATTCGCATTCTTTGCAATTTAAGTGAATTCCTGTGCTCTCCGCCAGCCCGCGGGCCACAGAACGCTCAGCGACTTGACTTTGTCTTTTGTAGTTTTTATTTCATTTCATTTCAGTTCGTTTCGCTTCGCTAATGGCACAAAGTTTCCAAAATACAGTGAAAGAAAAAATTCCAAAAGTCATAAAAGTTGCATTTTTTAGTCAATTTCCTTACAAAAAATAATGGAAAATAATTAAGTAGATGCCTGCTTGTAGCTCTAAGGGAAACCCATTTCTAATTGGACATTAAATTTTAATAAAACAAAGGATTTCTGTCTATTCTCTTCTCTCTCTCTCAAACATCTCTTTGGGTTGTATTATAATTCCCAATGGGTTCTAACTTATGTTGCACAGCATCGTTTACTGATAAGGAGAGGGAAGCTTTCCTTTGGATTTTTTAATACTTTACACTTTATACTTTTTAAATACTTTAAACCAACTTATTTATGTTTAATAAATAAGTTATCGTATATTTAAAAACTATTTCAGGTAAATCCAAATTTTTAAAGATTTTAAAAATGAATTTAATTTAAAAAAAATCTATAGTTACCATTATATCTTACAGATGCCTCAAAATTATTAAAGAAAATATTATAAATGAATCCAAAACATAATTCAATAAATGAATATTTGACAAAAACACCTCCCTTTTCTAATCGTTGGAAGTTGGAGATTTTGAAGGTATCACTGCAGCTTCCCACCCAAAAAATTCCAAGTGGATAAAGTTCTTTTACGTTATTTCTCTTTCTCAACTCCATTTCCTGGCTTAAAATTTTCCCAACTTGGCCTTTTTTTAGCAAGGATTGAGGAACTTGTCTTTATGTTAAGTTTCTTTTTTTAGTTGGTTTTTGGTGGCTTTCATTTAACATTTCTATGGCGGGGCTATTAGGGAAAAGCAGCCCCTCTTGACACACACACACATTTGGCCAGGAAAACTCATACACACACACATATGGGGGCAGCGGCGGTGAAAATGTTCAAGGACATTTCCAATGGCAGTGCGCAAAAAAAAGAGAAGAGAAGAAAAGAAAAAGGAACATCTTCTTCAGATCGCAAAAGTGCAAAATTCTACAGAATTGCCATGTGAAAACCATTAAGGCCTCCCCCCATAGAATTATTATCCGAAAATATCGGTTGTATTACACAGTATCATCGGGACCCTGAGTGTGTGTGCTGCAATGTTATGAATATGAAAATGAAAATCAGTTTTAACGATGCGTCGCGACGCGAGATAGATCTTTCGTTCTCCCCTCTCTTTCCTATTTTTTTTCATTTTGGATTTTGAGTTTTTGTATTTACGTCACTACAGTTTTATGGCTCTTTAAATATTAATAAAAAAATAAAGCACTCGTACAAAAACAAAGATTAATTATAGATATTAAAGAGCGATGATCCAGATAGCCGCCAAAAAGGCAATTTGTGTGTGCGGGGGGGAAAGTACCTACCTCAAAGGGACGTCTTTGCGTTTTTGTATCTTTTTTGGTTTCTAATTTGTATCTTTTTTATTTTTTAAGTCGTCGCGCGCACTAGAAAAAAAATTTCAAAAAAAAAAAAAGAAAAGGGGAACAAATCTGCGAACGAAGCGGAGTCTGCGGCGGATGCTTAACGGCTTGTTATTATACGGAATAACGGGATACATATATATTTATATATATTTCAACGGCGGAAATTATTACCAACACGGATTTTTTATTTGAAATATAAAAAAAAAACAGCGTTTCGTGGCGGTCTTCGGTGCGGCAACTACTGCTGCTGCTGCTGCTGCTGCAGCTACTGCGGCTACGGCTGCTGCTGCTGCTGCTGCTGCGTTTCCTGCTACTGCTGCTGCTGCTGCGGCTACTGCTGCGTATCGTCGCGTGTCGCGGCTCTGCACATCGCGCCGTATACCCAACGACTAGGCGCTGGAGACCAACTGTGCGGAACCCAGACGCGTCTGCAGCGTGTTCCGAGTCCGATCCGAGTCCGAATCCGAAACGCTTTTCCGAAACGCAAAATGGCCGAGAAAACCGACGAAAATCCGAATGCCGAAACCGACTGCAGCCTCTGCCGCGGCTGGCGTCGCTGCCACAGAGATAGAGATGCTTTCACCTTGAGCTTTTCCACCGCTTTTCCTTCGCTTTACCCCCTTTCCACCCCCTTCGCTTTCCCTTTGAGTTCCCTACAATTCCACTTTGCTTTTCGAAATCGAAAATATAAAAAGCTTCTGTGCGTGCTCTGAGCTTTGAAGGTCAGGAAAAGCGTTGGCTTTCCACATTTCCGCCTTTCCATTGGCTTTCCACAAAAATGCCGGATGAGCTTTCGATGCCGAAAGGATAAGGCAGCGGAACACATATCCTGCAGACAGCAGAAAGTGGGCCAGTCCGCAGCGGAATGCAGCAGCATTTCGGACTTCCATCAAAATCCAACAAGAAAGCACTTCCAGGAGCCGTTAATTTAAAAACCAATCAAAACGAAAGGCAAATCGAAAAGCATTCATTTCATATTTATTATAATTATAATATATATAATAATAGCAAGAAATTTAAGCTTTTTATTTAAATATTCGATATAAAAAACTAAACTCCCTTTTTCCCCCTGTTTTCTCCAATTATTAGTATATAAGGCAGAACGGCCCAGATCGGATAACTAAATCACATAACTTCCCTAGGAACAATCGGAAAATGTTTAAAACAAAAATTCAAACTATTCAACTATTCAAGATATTTTCATCTAATTAGAGAAATAATAAATAATTTATCAAAATCAGCCGACTATATAATATAGCTGCTATATAGGAAGGATCGTTAAATGTAAAGGCAATTGCTAAACTCTTCCTCTCACTCTCTTAAGGCACCCTGCAACGTGTTTGGTATGGCTGTGCAGCTCAAGAGGCACCCCTTACTCTCTAACACTCTCACTGCCTTTCTCTAGAGCTAGCGCTTACGCTCCCGCTCACACATTCTCTGCTCTCTTTGCTCGGGCACTATAAATACAGGGCGCTACCGGCCCTCGGGCCTCATTCGGTGCGCGGAGTGGCTGCTGGCAACATCTATGGTGAAAGTGGAAGTGATCGTGATAATATCACCTGCATCGGGATAAACAGGAAGAAGCTCTACACCGGATGCAAGTAAACAATGACGTGTCCTTAATTCTTCACCGAATGGTAGTAAACAATGACGTGTACTAAAATTCTTTACCGAATGGAAGTAAACAATGACGCGTAATTAACTCTTCACCGGATCATAGTAAACAATGACGTGTCCTTAATTTCGGTAAATCTTAACTAAAGTGGGAGTGATAGTGAACCAAATTAACATCACCTGCACCCAACGCAATGCATCTGGATAAACAGGAAGAAGCTCTACGCACTGAATGGATGTAAACAATGACGTGTCCTCAATTCCGGTAAGTCTTACCAATGACAATTATATCATATATATATATAGATACTATCGGATGGATCAGGCCTGGGTGTATAATCAGCTTGCACTTATTTTTTAATTAATTTCCTTATTGCTATTAACCCCATTGCTTAATTTTAATGCAAATTTAAAAAATTAAATTAAATTTAATGCATTTAAAAATATTGATTTAATATACCTAGAATAAACATATTTTAGAATTTTTTTGTAGGTATGCGAAGGCTAAAGCAAATGTATGGCAAAATATATATATGCTTTTGTTTGCAATCAAAATCTGAATCAATAAAGTTTCGACGGCAAATGTACCCCAAGTTTTTTAAGTTTTCTTTGCCAGCAATTAATAAAAGGTTTGGGTTTTTATCCCGATATGCTAATATGTTAATAAAAACCATTTGACATTTATATATGAAAATAATAATCAAAAATAAGAATAAACTTAATATAATTTTAAAAATAAATTGTTTTAATGCATTTAATTAAGATTTCCTTCGCTGTTAAATAAAATAAAATAATGTCCAGCTTACGGCCAAGGCAATCAAAACAAACTCCGATTAAAGAGAGAGAGAGCCGAGAGAAAGAGCCGCAAGAGAGCGCTCTCTTTTCGTTTGTTTACATTTCAAATTCAAGGTGAATTACCAGAAACACAACTAACAGCTAAGCCTGGGCCCACCACAAGAATGGGGGACAAGAGCAACAAAAGCAACAACTGATCTTTACTCACCTCTTCTGTACTGCAAGAGTTCCAAGCGAAAGAGCTTTGAGCTTTGAGAGCGGTTACCGGGACTTGTTGAATAACTTTCATTTATCGGAATACATGTGTACCTGTTTCACTTGCACACAAAAAAAAAAACAAAAACAAAAAAAAGCTCGCGGCACATATGTATCCGTTTCAGTCGCACACACACACAAAACCGAACGGCTCCTTTGGCTACGCAGCTCGGGCGTAGATTTTCCCGGCTTTATATACAGATTTTCACACCAAGATCCGATTCCGATCCGGTCATCCGAGAATATCACCGCCGACGTCGATTTTTCCCGATTGTTTTTCCGCTTTCCGCACCGTTTTCGTTCGACCGACCGCAAATGGTAACTTCGAGCACCCGCTTTTTTTCTTGTTGCATTTTTTTTTTTGCATTGGCTGCAGCCTGTTGATGGCGTTCTTTGACTTCTATGACACATGTTTCAGTACTGCCCACTAGTTAATCACTCGGGCAACACAAAAACTACCACTCGCGACTTGCAAATTTAGTTAATTTGATATTTTTTCTTGCGAAAAAACGGAGTGAAAAAACAGCGACTGCCCTCGCTGCTCGTCAGTGTTGAAATAGTGAATTCACCGTGGCCACCGGGACTTGTTGAATATATATGCATCTGTTTCACTTGCACACACACACACCTGACATGGATCACCCGTTTTTTTTTTCTTTGGCTGCAGCCTGTTGATGGTGTTCTTTGACTTCTATGATATATGTTTTAGCACTGACCACTAGTTAATCACTCGGGCAACACAAAAACTACAACGCGCGACTTGCAAACTTAGTTAATTTGATATTATTTGCTGCGAAAAAACGGAGTGAAAAAACCGCGACTGCCCTCGCTGCTCGCCAGTGTTGAAATAGTGAACAGCTGCTTCGATCGCATGGTGAAAAGTCCGATGCAAAAGCTATTGGCTTATTGCCCGTAAGAGACTCGTACGAGAGAAGAGTGCAGCTATATAAGCATGAAAAAGGTGAAATAAAGTGAATTTCACCTTGCCGCGCATTTCACAAAACCAATAAGTAAATAAGCGCACGGCGTAACTAAATAAGCAATAAGAGGAGATTCCAGGGTGATTGTGTGGCTAGCAAGGCTTCAAACTTGGCTAACAACAGTAGACATGGCGACGAGCAAACAAATACGGAAGAAACAAGTACCTGTCAGTCGGCATGCGACCGATCCAAAACATATCCGAAACCACCTAAAAGTCCGAGATCCCAAGCGCCGAAATGTCCAGCTCGGAGGAGGAGAGTGACCAGGGGAGTGCCGAATGGCAACGATTCCTTACGCAGGAGGTGCCACGCAGGGCGGCGGGCAGTGGGACTGAGCATGAAATCGTATTTGGAGATGCAACTGGAGGTGGTGCCGGTGGTGGCGGTGGTGGCGGTGATGCCGGTGATGGCGGTGGTGGCGGTGGCGGTGACCGGACGACCGTCCACTCCGAAGTACGACAGAGCGGCACATCGATCGAACGAGTGGGCAGCGAGCTCACCTCCATGACGGAGCGTCCCAGCGACGGGCCCTCAGATGCTTCCGGCGCTGCAAAGAAGTCTGGGAAGCAGAAGCGGCATCAGAAGTACCATCAGAAGCACCAGAAGAACATGAAGTCGTACCTAAAGAATCGTCTGAATTTCCACTCCAAGGGCAGTTCCCCGCAAAGCGCCAAGTCGCGGAATCCCAGCACCTCGAAGATAACCACCGGTGCCTCGCTGATTCCGGACCTCAATCTGGTCATCAACCGGATGCGGACCAATACGGATGACTCATTTGTGTATATGGACTACATGCTGCCGCATGACAGCGAACTCTTTACACCGTACAGCCTCCGGCTGGTGGAGTTTTCGGAGCTGGACATAACGCAACCGTTTTATACGGTCACCAGGCATGGAGTCACCTATTGGCACTGCTCCGAGAACTTCTTCACGCCGCTCGACCAGTGGCAGCAGGAGTTTCAGCAGTTCCTCAGCATCATACAGATTCGTTCCTTCTCCATCTTTCGGCTGTGGAAGGGATTTAAGGTAGGTGAAGGTTTCTATACTGTCAGAGGATATATATATAATATTGATGAATCATTTCAGGTTTGGGAGAAGACCATCAAGTGGCGGAAACTGAATGAGGCCCGGGATTTCCTTCAAAACAATTTGTTCATCGTTATACCGCAGCTGGCCAAGGCAATTCTACGGATGCGCAGCGATATTGTCCAAATGGAGCGACTGAACTTTGTGAATACCACCAACATTGAGAACTGGCATCCCTTTTATTTCCTGGAGACGCACATGCGAATTTATGAGCAGTTGCATCGCATTATCCATGATTTCCGGGAGTTCATTGGCAAGACCTTATGTGAGTTTCCTGTGGAATCTATTTTACCAACGACTATATGTATATTATGGATCTTTTATTGTAGTTCGTGCCTGCACGGATGCCATCCAAGCCCGTGGATTTTATCCAGATGACGAAATCAACTACTATCCCTCGCTGAAGAAGATGCGAGAGGCACACAGCTTTATGGATCGGGCAAGGAAGAGGGCCTTCTGCAAGACGCTTACCAAGTAACATCATGAAATATAAACAATTTATGCATTGTATAATATTTATTATTCAATTCCCTACAGTTTCCTCACCTACAGCGACATGATGGTCTACCAGATGCTATTCCGCATCACTCTGAAGAGTTTCCAGGATCTGGAAGACGCCTTCGAGGTGCACGACGACCTTGGCCCGTCCGAGGCGGAGATAAATCTGAGCATGCGCTTGGACAGGAAGATCGAGAGACTACGTCCACCCGAAAAGCCCCAGCATCCGTTCTTTGTGGCCAAACTCCGACTGCTGCCGGATCGCATCGATGTCGAGCCCTCAGAGGAAGTGATCAAGATTATCTTTCAGCGCATCACAGGGCTAATACTCGAGACGGTCCTCGATATACATCCCTTCACCACGGATCCCTATTTCTCGCAGTACACCAAGTGAGTTTCTTCACTAAGTTCTTTGTGTAGTTTTCCCCTTTAATGTTATTATCAATTCTTTTAGACCCTCGATTATGGGACGTCAGGAGGAGGTACTTTACGAGGGAGCTCCAGATCTGCACTATTTGCTTCGCTCCGATCTAGGTTTTCAGTTTAATCGGTGAGGATTATAGTCGCAATGATCCTTATACTGTATTTAAACTATTGTTATTATTATTATTAGCAAGAACATGATATTTCTAATCCATAAGGCCTTCGAACGAGCTCGTATTTATACCATGCGGTTCCAGACCATTCGCGAGAACTATGAGATAGACAACAGCACGGATCCTGTGGTCCTGACCAGTGAGAAAGGTATTTCCATAAGATTCCAGATAGAAAACTACCAATACTTAACTGATTCGCTTTTAGATCTTGTAACCTTGCGGGCCTACTGCGATCGGTACTGCAATAATGTGCGAGCCTTGGATGGGATTCTGGACTATATATATCTTGGATTGCTGAAGCTCACACAAACGAATTTCAAGGACACGGTGACGCCAGTCTGTTCGCGCCTGCAGAACATCCTCGCCACCTATTTGGCTAAGTTGGCCGAAGAGGAGACGGTACGGATATATGAGGAGGCGCAGGACTTTTACACCAGAATCTGCTATGAGCCCCAAGAGACCCTGGAGATAGTGGCCCACATCCGATTCCTGGACAGGTGCTCTGAAGAGTTGGATGAATTATTTGGTGGCATTGACTACGTCCACGATCTCCTGTTAATCATCAAAGACTTTAACATAGCCATCGACGATGAGTCCAAAGAGGACTACATGGACACGGAGGACTATCTCAATCGTACGCGTGATACGCTGGCTGAGATCAGGGAGAAGCGGCAAGAGTTTATCAATCGACTTGAGGAAGCCATGCAGGATGATATAGAGGCGCTCATGGAGGAGATCCACGAGGTGGCCATCGAGGCGCTGGAGCCGTGGCTTCTGGATGTGAGTATAATGGAAATTAATTGTATTTGTTAAAAGATTTTAGCATTAATTAATCTCTTTCAGGCTAAATCCAACCGGCAATCGGTGGTCAATAAACTGGACGCATTGCTGGAACACCTGACCGCATGCCGGGAGCGTGCCGACGAGTTTCTTGGCTACCAAAAGGAATTCCAGATTGATTTGACCATGTACGAGGAAATGGCCAGCGGTTTCTATGACATACGAATGCGGCAAAACCTGTACCGCACATGGTCCGACTGGGAGGAGTCGCTGGCCGAGTGGATAGCCGCCGATTTCAATACGTTGGTGGTGGCGGACATTGTCGAGCTGAATTCCAAGACCATCAAGAATTGCCTGCAGTTCCAGAAGTATCTGCCGGAGAATAACATTGTGCCCGTGCTGCAGGCATCCGCAGAGGCCTTCAAGGAGAAGCTGCCAGTGATTGGTTATCTGCGCAATCCCAACCTAAGAGCCGTATGTCTTTCAAGAAATCTAGCTCTTTGTTTCTTAATTTTAATTGAAACTTTAATCAAACTTACAGCGTCACTGGGCGGAGATCGAGGACTTGCTTAACCACAAGTTCTTCCAGGAGAAGGACGTCATAATCCAGACATACGAGGATGTGCACGCCTTCGATGATGTTAACCTAGGCGAGGCCCTGATGCAGATCTCCTCGCAGGCCACCGGTGAGGTGCAGCTAGAGAATATGTTGAAGAGCATCGAGACTATCTGGAAGGAGACGGATTTGTTCATTGTCCCGCACCATGACCAGAAGGATGTCTTCATTCTGGCTGGCACCGAGGAACTGCAGGCCGTTCTGGATGATTCCAATGTGAATATAAATACTATTGCGGCCTCCAAGTTTGTGGGTCCCATCAAGGGCAAGGTGGATGAGTGGATCTTTGCGATGGAACAGTTTGCGAAGACCTTTGGTGGGTAGCAAGGACTCTAAAGGATAATTATCAAAGACACATGCTAATGTTTGAATAATGTTTATAACTAGAAAGCTGGATGGATTGTCAGGGCGCTTGGATATATCTGGAGGCCATCTTTGCTTCGGCTGATATTCAGCGACAATTGCCCCAGGAGGCCAAGATGTTCTTTGCGGTGGATAAGAGCTTCAAGGAGCTGGTACGGCAAGCCAAGAAGGTTAGTCTGGCCTTGCCCACCATGTCCAGTGTGGAGGTGTATCAGACGCTGGTGGAGAACAATCGATTGCTGGATCTCATTTCGCGTGGACTGGAGGCATATCTGGAGGTGAAGCGTGTGGTGTTTCCCAGGTAAATTAGGGGATATTATCCAAAAGAATATTATTAACAAATCACTTCTTATCCCATAGATTCTACTTCCTTTCAAACGACGAGCTGCTGGAGATTCTGGCTCAAACCCGCATCCCTCAGGCGGTGCAGCCGCATCTGCGCAAGTGCTTCGATGCCATCTATCGTCTGGAATTCGGTTTAAAAGAGGGCGGCGATGGCAAGAATGTGGCCACCAATGACATCATTGCCTTCCTTTCGCCCGAAGGCGAGAAGCTACAATTTGGCAAAGGCTTAAAGGCCAGCGGTGCTGTGGAGGAGTGGCTGAACAAGGTGGAGGAGGCAATGTTTGTCTCCGTGAAGCGTTACATGCGCTTTGGTTATCAGTGCTATCCGGCCAAGGAGCGTGAGGATTGGTTCCAGGATCATCCCAATCAGGTGGTACTCACCGTCTCTCAGGTGCAATGGGCCGCCGATATACATCGCATTTACGAGGGCAAGGAGCGTAATCCCCTCAATATCCTCGAGAAAATGGCCAAATTTGAGGTGAAATGCCTCAAGGATCTGGGCGCTTTGGCGGCCCTAACTCGAAAGAATATTACCTCGCTGCTGCGGAAGGTTCTTTGTGCCCTCATCACCATCGATGTGCATGCCAAGGATTCGGTAAGGATGCTTGTGGAGAAGCAGGTAGTCAAGGCGTGAGTATATCCAGGATTTAATTTTATTAATTCATGAAATGATTTAATTTAATTCCTAGGTCCGACTTCAACTGGCTAAAGATGTTGCGATTTTATTGGGCGGATGAAACGGAGACAGTCTACACCCGCATGGCGGCCGCCAATATTCCTTATTATTATGAATATCTGGGCGCTGGCGGTGTCCTGGTGCTGACTCCATTAACGGATCGCTGTTACCTTTGTCTGATGGGCGCCTTCCAAATGGATTTGGGCGGAGCACCTGCAGGTCCCGCCGGTACAGGGAAGACAGAGACCACCAAGGATTTGGCCAAGGCTTTGGCCAAGCAGTGCGTCGTCTTTAACTGCTCCGATGGTCTTGATTACAAGATGATGGGACGCTTCTTCTCGGGCCTGGCTCAGTGTGGCGCCTGGTGCTGCTTTGACGAGTTTAACCGCATTGATATCGAGGTGTTGTCCGTGATTGCCCAGCAACTGATCACCATACGTACGGCCAAGGCAATGAAGGTTAAGCGGTAAGGATTGGGTATCCGTATTTGGAACACTAATAACTCCTTCATCTTTCTCCTTATCCCTCAACATAGCTTCATTTTCGAGGGTCGTGAGATCAAGATCAATCGCTCGTGCTGCGTATTCATCACCATGAATCCCGGTTATGCTGGTCGTACTGAGCTGCCGGATAACTTGAAGGCCCTTTTCCGACCCATCTCCATGATGGTGCCGGATTATGCTCTAATTTCAGAGGTCATCCTTTACTCGGAGGGCTTTGAGGACCCCAAGATTCTGGCCAGGAAGATGGTGCAAATGTACCAGCTTTGCAGTCAGCAGCTGAGCCAGCAGAATCACTATGACTTTGGCATGCGAGCGGTCAAATCTGTCCTGGTCATGGCCGGAGCTTTGAAGCGAGCCTCACCCAATCAGCGAGAGGACATCACTTTGATTGCGGCCTTGCGGGACTCCAATATACCCAAGTTTTTGGCCGATGATGCTGTCCTATTTCGGGGCATTCTCAGTGATCTGTTTCCGGGCGTCGAGCTGCCAGACTCTCAGCATCCGGATCTGGAGGCAAGTCTTCAGATTGGTCTACGGAACAAGAATCTACAGCCGGTGGCAACAACCTTACGCAAGTGCCTGCAATTGTATGAGACAATGTGCGTCCGTTGGGGTGTGATGTTGGTGGGACCCACTGGTGGCGGCAAATCCGTTGTCCTGCATGCCCTGGAGTTTGCTCTGTCGCATCTCTTTGAGATTGAAGTCCAGGATCCGAATTTCCGGCCCGTTGTCATTCAGACAATGAATCCCAAGGCGGTGACCATGAATGAACTGTATGGCTATGTGGATCCCAAGACGCTGGAGTGGCAGGATGGCCTGCTGGGTTTGGCGGTGCGTACAGCAACCACAGTGGAGGGTAAGTACAAGTCCAAGACGTACAGGTAACCTCATAAATCGAACCTCTATCCTCTTGTCCTGCAGACGAAATCCATCAATGGATCATGTGCGATGGCCCCGTGGACGCCGTGTGGATTGAGAATCTAAACACAGTGCTGGACGACAATAAGATGCTGTGCCTGGCCAACTCGGAGCGGATCAAGCTCACTGCCTGGATCCACATGCTCTTCGAGGTGCAGGATCTGTTGCAAGCCTCACCGGCCACTGTCTCCCGCTGCGGCATGGTGTACGTCGATCCGGGTGATCTTGGCTGGTTGCCCTTGGTGGATACGTGGCGTGAGGTGGACATGGAACATCAGTTACCTGCGCCTCTGGCCGAGTTTCTCTATCAACTCTTCGTTGAGTACTTTGACAAGGCTCTGAATATTGAGCGTAAGCGGCCGTTGTATACCATCCATCAGGTGCTTGGCTCCAAGGTGACACTGTGCTGTACGCTCACCTTGTCACAGCTGGAGGCAGTGAAGTGGTCCGCATTGGAAGCGGAGAAGGCCAAGGATCTGCTAACCAAGATCTTTGCATGGACAGTGCTTTGGGCGATTGCTTCGAATCTCAAGGATGCGGAGAAGGTTTCGTTCGAGGAGCAGTGGACCAAGGCCATGGGACAGCATCCCAATATGATGTAGGTGCTTATTTATAGAGTATATATATCCTATATATCTTTTATATACTTCTACACAGAATCCCGAATCAGTCTTTATGGAACTATCGAGTCAATCTGGAGACCATGGAGTGGGAATCCTGGAATGAGATCATGGCCACGTTTGTCTTCAATGGAGACATTTCCTACTATGACATGCTGGTGCCCACAGTGGATACCACCAAATATGGGTGAGTTGGGTTTGGATCTCTCAAAGCTATGTCTCCAATCTTAACCCTTCTCCTCAGGTACGTGGCCGATCTGCTGTTCAGCAAGAACATGCCCGTGATGGTCACCGGAGAGACGGGCGTGGGCAAGACAGTGCTGGCCATCAGTTGCATGAAACGTCTATCCGAGGGCAGAGTTATACCCGTGATCCTTAACTTCTCCGCTCAAACAAGCAGCGTGCGCACCCAGGAAATGATTGAGGGGCCGCTGGAGAAGCGCAAGCGCACCCAACTGGGTGCTCCAGTGGGCAAGACGGTCATTGTGTTCATCGACGATGTGAATATGCCCAAGCTGGACACGTATGGTGCCCAGCCGGCCATCGAGCTGTTGCGTCAGTTCCTCGACTTCAAGGGCTTCTACGATCGGGAAAAGCTATATTGGAAAGAGATCTTGGATGTGGTGCTTGGCTGCGCCTGTGCGCCGCCCGGTGGAGGCCGTAACCCGCTCACACCACGCTTCGTTCGACACTTTGCCCTCTTCTCGCTGCCAAAGCCCAATGAGGAGACCCTTACCCAGATCTTTAATGGCATTCTGCGTGGCTTCCTGCAGACCTTCTCCAGCAACATTCGCAGTCTGTCAGAGAACATGGTAAAGGCCTGCGTGGATGTGTACATGCGGGTGGCAAATGTGATGCTGCCCACACCGGATCGCTCTCACTACATCTTCAATTTGCGTGATCTGTCCAAGTGCATCCAGGGCATACTGCAGGCCAGCAATCTCCACTACAATCAGGAGCAGCAGATACTGCGTCTCTTCTATCACGAGACAACACGCGTCTTCCACGATCGTCTGATTAACCAGGATGACAAGAACCTGTTCAAGTCACTGATGAAGTCCGTCTGCGAGGATCACTTCAACCGCGAAGTGGTTCGCGATGACGAACCGCCCATCCTGTTCGGTGACTTTATGGTCTTTGGCAAGCCAAAGGAGGAGCGAATCTATGAGGAGATCAAGGATCACAACAAGCTAGAGAGTGTGCTTAACGACTACATTGTGGACTTTAATTCAATGGGCGGTGCCAAGTCCATGAAGCTAATACTCTTCCAGGATGCCATGGAGCACACCGTCCGCCTGGCTCGACTTTTGCGTAGCGATCGAGGCAATGGACTCCTCGTTGGCGTCGCTGGAATGGGCAAGCAGTCGCTTACACGGCTGGCATCCCATGTCAACGAGTACAACTGCTGGCAGATTGAGATGCGGCGCAACTACGATCTCAGTGCCTTCCATGAGGATTTGCGGGTTCTCTATCGCATTGCTGGGGTGAGTACTTGCCTTCTAGGAGTTCTTCCTTCACAGCTTTTATTCCTATCTCTTCAAACAGGTTGAAAACAAATCGGTGACATTCCTGATGATCGACAGCCAGATTGTGGAGGAGGAATTCCTTGAGGACATCAACAACATCCTTAACTCTGGCGAAGTGCCCAATCTATTTGAAGGTGATGAGTACGAAAAGGTCTTATTGGATGCCCGAGACCCCTGCAATGAGAACAGAAAAGGTGATGCATGCCATCGCGATGAGATCTACAAGTTCTTCATCAACCGAGTGCGCAATAATCTGCATGTGGTTATGTCCATGAGTCCGGTGGGAGATGCCTTCAGGCGAAGATGCCGCATGTTCCCCTCGTTGGTCAATTGCACCACCATCGATTGGTTTACTAGCTGGCCCACAGAAGCCCTCTACTCGGTGGCTTTGGGATTGCTTACAAAGATAGCGCCAAAAATGGAGGATCGCATATCGTTGGCCAGCACCACGGTCTTCATACACAAGGTGAGAGGGGAGGAGCAGCTGAAATCCTTGAGAGAAATTATATCTAAACAATATTATCCCTTAGACTGTGGAGGATGCCTCGGTGAAATTCTACAAGGAGATGAAGAGGCACTACTACACCACGCCCAGTAGCTACCTAGAACTGTTGAAGCTCTACCAGAATCTACTCAAGCTGAAGAACCAGGAGATAATAGCCAAGAGAAAGCGTATTGCGAATGGTTTGAACAAGCTCCTGGAGACCAATGAAGTGGTGAGTACACAGAAGAGACTATGGAGGATCTAGGACTCTGGTAATACTGAAGTTCTCTGAAATTCCCTTAGATTGCTGTCATGCAAAAGGAATTGGAAGTGATGGTGCCTCAGTTGGATGAGAAGTCAGCCATGATGAAGTCCCTGCTGGATAACCTGACCAAGGAGACCAAGCAGGCGGATGCTGTTAAGCAGAGTGTGCTTGAGGATGAGACAAATGCCAAGGAGAAGGCGGCGGTGGCCCAGGCGATATCCGAGGATGCTGGCAAGGATCTGGAGATTGCAATGCCCGCCCTGCGTGAGGCCGAGGATGCCCTCAAGGGTCTAACCAAGGCGGATATCAATGAGTTGAAGTCCTTTACCACGCCGCCCGCCTTGGTGCAGTTCTGCATGGAGGCCGTGTGCATTCTCTTGGGCGCCAAGTAAGTTTAATGATGAAATTAACATCCCTTGTATTGATTTCTACATTCCCTTTAGACCCACTTGGGCCTCTGCCAAGGCCATCATGGCGGACATTAACTTTATCAAGAGGCTATTCGAGTACGACAAGGAGCACATGAAGGAGGAGACGCTGAAGAAGGTGAAGAAGTACATCGATCACAAGGACTTTGTGCCAGCGGTGAGTGACTTGATGACATCCCTCTGGTTCTGTAGTTACATTACCTTTCTCCTCCTCTCCCCAGAAATTCGAGAAGGTCTCCAAGGTGGCCAAATCGGTGAGCATGTGGGTAATAGCCATGGACAAGTTCTCCAAGGTCTACAAAGTGGTGGAGCCAAAGATCAAGCGCAAGGAGGCCGCCGAAGCGGAGCTCAAGGAGGTGATGACAGTGCTGCGACAGAAGCAAAAGGAACTGGCCGCCGTTGAGGCCAAGATCCAGGGGTTGCGCGACAGCTTGGAGGAGAAGCAGCGCGAATTCCAGGTGATTCAGGACAATGTGGATCTAACCTATGGCCGGATTGATCGAGCCGGGAGACTTACCTCTGCGCTGGCCGATGAGCAGGTGCGCTGGCGTGAAACAGTCAAGTCGCTGACTGGGGATTTGGCCTGCGTCCCTGGAGATGTCCTAGTAGCCGCCGCCTGTGTGGCCTACCTGGGTGCCTTCTCGCATCAGTACCGACGCGATATGTGCGCTTTGTGGGTCATCAAGTGCAGCGAATTTAAGATACCTTCCAGTTCCGAATTCAACCTGCTCAAGGTGCTTGGAGATCCGTACGAGATGCGGCAGTGGAATGTGGATGGTTTGCCCAAGGATAACATCTCCATTGAGAATGGTATTTATGCCACCCGGGCCCTGCGCTGGGCTCTTATGATTGATCCCCAGGAGCAGGCCAATCGCTGGATTCGCAACATGGAGCGGGCCAACAATCTGCAGGTGATCAAGATGACCGACTCGACCATGATGCGGGTTCTTGAGAATAGCGTGCGACAGGGTTATCCGGTGCTGCTTGAGGAGATCAATGAGACAATTGATCCCAGCCTGAGGCCAATCCTGCAGCGGGAAACGTATCGCTTTGAGGGACGCACCTACCTTAAGCTGGGCGATCAGGTTATAGACTATGATGATGGTTTCAAGCTCTATATGACCACGAAGTTGCCCAATCCCCATTATCTGCCGGAGGTTTGCATCAATGTGACCCTGGTTAACTTCCTTGTCACCGAAATGGGTCTCGAGGATCAGCTGCTGGCGTGAGTATATATAATACAATCATATATATTCCTTATTCCTTGACTCCTTGCTATATTCTTAGGGACATTGTGGCCATTGAGCTGCCCGTGATGGAGACCCAACGTAATGACCTGGTGGTCAAGATCAATTCGGACAAACAGCAGCTGCTGGCGCTGGAGGACAAGGTGCTAAAGCTGCTCTTCAACTCCGAGGGCAACATCCTGGACGACGAGGAGCTGGTGGAGACACTAAATGATGCCAAGGTTAGTTATATATTCTCCTAAATCCTGGTGTAGCTGCTCATCCTCTTGCTTTTTAGGAAACATCTTTAATCATTGCCGCCCGACTGATTGACACCGAGGAAACGGAGAAGGTTATTACCGCATCGCGTGAACGCTATCGCATTCTGGCTTCCCGTGGAGCCATCCTGTACTTTGTGGTGGCCGGCCTGGCTGAGATTGATCCCATGTACCAGTACAGTCTCAAGTACTTCACCCAGGTCTTTTGCAATGTCCTAAAGCTGGAGCATCCACAGCAGAGCGTTGAAGTCCGCATTGCCACCATGATGACCGATGAGTTAAAGGCCATTTTTGATAATATATCACGCGGTCTGTTCGAGAACCACAAGATCATCTTTAGCTTTTTGCTGGCCCTGTCCGTGGAGAGGCAAGAGGGTCGCGTCACCGAGGACGAGTTCAATTTCCTTACCCGCGGAGCTGTCGGGAACATACGACAAAAGCAGCAGCCGGCTAATATTAATCTCAGTCCGCTCGAGTGGGATACCTGCGTCTATCTGGAGGATAACTTCAGCTCGGTCTTTGGCGGCTTCACCAGTGAGCTGGACAAACCCTTCTTCCTGCAGCTGATGGGCAACAAGGAAGTGTTTGATTTTGCTGGAACCAACAAACCGCCGACGGACAAGTGGGATAAGAAACTGAAAGTCTTCCACAAACTCATGTTCATGTCGGTGTACCGGAAGCCACGGTTCCTCCTGAATGTGGTTTGCTACCTCCAGGCGACGGTTGGGAGGTACTTCACCGACTCAAAAGGTGGCACCCAGCTGAGCACTGTGTAAGTTTAGGATTTATGACCTGGAATTCCCCTATATTTAATACGATTTTATTGCTTGCAGCTACCTGGACACATCGTCGGTAACGCCGCTTATCTTTGTGCTGTCCACTGGCTCCGATCCAATGTCCGGCTTCCTCAAGTTCACCACGCAGATGCAGTTCACCGAGAAGTACTACTCCATCTCGTTGGGTCAGGGCCAGGGTCCGTTGGCAGAGAATCTGATTGACAAGAGCCTGCGGATGGGTCATTGGGTATTCCTGCAGAACTGTCACTTGGCCACCTCGTGGATGCAAACGCTGGAGACAATTGTGCGTAATCTGACGCTGGGTATTACCAAGGCGCATCCCGATTTCCGGCTCTATCTCTCCTCCATGCCCATCCACACGTTCCCGATCAGCGTGCTCCAGAATTCGGTAAAGATCACCAATGAGCCACCGAAGGGAATCAAGGCGAACGTGCTGGGTGCCCTGGCGGATCTCAAGCCGGACTTTTTCGAGGAGCACATCCAGAACGGTAACTGGCGAGCCATCGTGTTTGGGCTGTGCATGTTCCATGCGGTGCTCCTGGAGCGTCGCAAGTTCGGACCGCTTGGCTGGAACATTACCTACGAGTTCAGTGAAAGTGATCGTGAATGTGGCCTCAAGACGCTCGATTTCTTCATCGATCGAGGTGTCCTCGACGATATACCTTGGGAGGCAATCCTCTATATTAACGGCGAGATCACCTGGGGCGGCCGGGTGACGGACTATTGGGATCTGCGTTGCCTGCGCACCATCCTTATGATCTTCTCCTCGAAACGGATTATTCAGCCGGATTATAAATACTGCCGCGGTGATAGTTATTACCGTGATCCCCGCAAGAAGACGCTGGCCGAGTACTCACTGTTCGTGCAAGACTTTCCGGTGCTGGAGGATCCCGAGATCTTTGGCATGAACCAGAACGCCAATATTGTGTTCCAGACCAAGGAGACTGCGTTCTTTATCAATACCCTGCTACTGGGTCAGCCCAGATCGGCGGCGGATGAGGGTCAGGCGGCGGAGAATGAGATATGTCAGCAGATTATAGCACGTATTCAAAAGTCACTGGTTCAGAAGATCAGGAGGGAGCCCCTGCATGGTACACTCTCGGTGGTAAGTTAACCTGGACAGGCTTTATACTTTATACTACTATCTACTCTTCTTTTACAGGTGGACAGCAAGGGGCAGGTGCCATCGTTGACCATTGTGCTGATACAGGAGATTGATCGCTTCAATATATCCCTAGGCATCATTCATGACAGCTTGGCTAACCTCTCGAAGGCCATCAAGGGTCTGGTGGTGATGTCCGAGGAGCTGGAGAATGTCTTCAAGGCGCTGCTCTCCAATATAGTGCCCGCATCGTGGGCTAAGCGTAGCTTTCTCTCAATCAAGCCGCTGCCCAGCTATATAGCCGACTTCCAGCGACGCATTGACTTCATCCAGCATTGGGCTGAGAATGGGGCACCACGATCCTTTTGGCTCAGTGGCTTTTTCTTTCCTCAGTCCTTTCTCACTGGGATCCTGCAAACATACGCTCGACGGCGAGTTCTGCCCATTGATTCCCTGAAAATAGACTTTGATGTGGTGGAAAAGGTGCTGGTGCAGCAGGACTTCTTTGAGACGCACGCAAACGCAATGAATGTGAGTCGTGAATAGGTTCTCTTTGTAATCTTTGTAACCATTTCTTGTTTTAGGATCAAAAGCTATATGGCACTCTGTCTGAATCAACGGATGCCATTATCCATGTGCATGGCATTTTCATTGAGGCCGCTCGCTGGGATTTGAGTCAGGGCGGGCTGTGCGATGCCAATTTCGGGGAACTGTACACCCGAATGCCGGTGGTGAGGTTCAAGCCCTGCCTGGAGATAGCCCCAATAGTGCGATACGAGGCACCGGTCTATAAGACCCAACAGCGCTCCGGTGTCCTGTCCACCACCGGTCATTCGACCAATTTCATTCTATCCATTTTGCTGCAGAGCGATAACGATCCCGAGTTCTGGATAATGCGGGGCACAGCTCTGGTCTCGGGTGTCTTGGAGAATCTCTCCTAGGTTTTCGATATGATTTTCTAAGTTAATATTTTGTTTTATTTTCATTAATGCATAGTTCAAGGCGTCTTTATTTCGTTTCGTATTACAATTTAATGGGGTGTACGAGTGTAGGAGTGTAGGAGTTTGAGTGTGTGTGGTTTGGTCTAGATATAGCTTAAGGTCTATTAGGAGATATCCAACCGGTTTATTAAGTAGTATTAAGTTCCGATATTGTGCTCACGTCTGTTCTCTACTATTTAATGTTTCGTATCAAAAGCGAGATGTCGGCGCTCAAAAAAACCCGAGCTAATATTTATGGCAAAGTAATTGACAAGATCTCAGAATAATATCGCTATAAGAACGAGTCCCTAAAAGAGCTTAAATATTAATACTCTCTATATAACTTTTATCATTTCCTGTGTATAGTTAATTTCCAAAAGCTTGCAGTTTGTATAATCCTGGCTTTAAATGATCATGGGGTATATATAGATATATAGTGTATTGTATATACAACGTTGCACGTTTCAAGTCTGTTTTATCTTTATGCAAGCCTAGAACTTGCAACTTTTTTGTCTCAGTTTTGGATTCTCGCTCACACACACACACAAATCGCACACACACACACAGGAGGCACAACAACAAATATACAAATGTAGTCTATATATTATATACAATTCCTTTAGGGTTTCGATGGACAGACAACAGATCTAACTAATTAGTGATAAAGGAATGTGGTTGCTGTTTGTTCGCTCTTTTCTAAGTACTAATACTGCCGTTCTCTCAGCTGCTCCAAACTCTGTCTTGTTTAAATTTTGTGGAAGGTATGGTTTTTTGGAATTCTGGCTCGTAATTTCAGGGCTTCGGAATATTGGGGAATGTGGCTTAGGCGGCTAAGGTATTAGGGTTTTATATGCAGTTAATGATATAGGTTTCAGATATAGGTTTGGTTCGTTTTACCGCATATAAATGGAATGCTAAATTAGTTCGAAATCTTAGGCACTAATTATTGCTCGACACTTTCGTCTCTCTCTCCTCTCTCACTCTCTTCAACTTTAAGTACTTAGTGACTAAATGTACAAATTAGCTAAACAACGCAAAAAAAAGAGATATATATAGAATTAAACAAGATAAAAAAAAAACATGGTTTACATACACCGCAAAATCGTTCATTAGGAAGCACTATTCTCTCGCCTACAACTTTTTACTATCCATATCGATTCGTAAGTCGGGCAACGAGCCACGCGGCTGCAACAGGCTACGCTTCTCCGGATCCTTGACCTTCTTGGGCTTGGGCCTGTTTGTCTTGGTATAGCGATTGATTACCCCATCGCCCTCGTCCATCATGCGCAGGATGAGAGCCTGATCGGAGGAGTCCAGTGGTGCTATCGAGATATCTCGCACGGCACGGAACTTACCGCAATTGTTGAGATGCTCGTTCTCCAGGCGGAAAAAGTTCCAAACAAAGCGACTGCGGAAGAGGATTAACATGTATATTTGTGCTTTTTTCAATAGCTTCTGTTTACTCACCGGAATACCTCTAGAATGCCAGTGATGGAGGTCATAATGTCACCACTAACTATCTTCATTTCGGTGAGATAGAAGGACAGCACCCAAATGAAGCGAAGTGCCAAGTCCTCCACAATGGCAAAGTAGTAGAAGCCCTAAAATAAATGGAAAATTAACTTAATTTAAGTATTAAATATAGGTATAAAGGACTAACCGTCGATGAGTAGACGACTTCCTCGCGCAGGAACGTATTCTCTCCAGCATTCTTATCAAACAGACCCCAATCCATTTTGATATCCCAAGTGTAGGCATAGCAGGAGGACACAATAGAAGCTATAATCCACAGCCAAGTGTATGGATTGTCAAATGTGCTGGCATAGTTCGCTGCAAGAAAGAAACATTAACTATAAGATCAACTTTTAAGTACAATTCAAGACACTTACGACTGTGGAAACTCTTGAGCGTAGCAAAGATCACCACAAGAAATGTGGTGGAGTATTTCCCGGCATTCACCAGGTGAGGGAAGGCCTCTCTCGAGTCACGATATCGCCGCAGGCACTGTGCAAATCGAAACCAGGCAGGCAAGCAGTTGACAATCGGCCGGATGATAAAATCCTTCTCCATGCATATAGAAGCATCCTTTGCCTCCGTCCAGTTCCCATTCGTAAAGTAGAAGCAGATGAGGTATTCAAAGTCCAGTATGGCCGTGGCCAACGAATTCAGCTGATCACCCAGCCAGAAATCAGCAAAGCCCACATGGAAGAATGGGGCAGAGAGGCAGCGACCCGTAATCCGCCACAGCCAGAAGCGGGCGTCGTGATGGAGGACGTGAAATGGATTGGCCAGGAACAGCACCATGATCAGGGTGAGTGTTAACGGATTGATGAACGCCGGTATGGCCAGACTGGCACTATACAGGAAGCTCAGCATGCTGAGCGTCCACACAACGCCAAAAATAGCCGCCAGTTCCATGAGATGCTGCTCCGATAAATGATTCCGCGGATCAAGCTCAAAGATAAGAACATGATTCACGCCAGATGACCGCCAGCCGTAGATATTCACGCCAATGAGGAAGATGAACTCGATGATGAGCAGGGGACCACGGTACAGACGAAACGTGACCTTCAGATTCTCACCGCTAATCTCATGGAAGATTGCCGACAGTACGACCACAATGCCCAGCACTATGAAGCTGCCGGAGAAGAGACCAACCTTGAAGGTGGTCCATGGACTTTGCTGTTCCCCAAGAGGCGGAACTCTCAAACGTTTCATTGCCCGCTGACGATCACCACCCTCCAGTTCACCAGTGACCGTTGTCTCTGTTTCATTGATGATATTATCAATGTCCTTGTTGGTGAAGAAGTGTGATGCCTCCACATATTCCTGCCGCCACTTGGCACCGGTGTCCACGCGTAAAAGCTGAGGGGAAAATAAAGAACTTATTAGTTTTCTGGGTATTCTTATAGACACAGACTCTTTTCCAAATAGACTCAATGATTCACCAACGTTTTATGTTACTTTCAGGGAAAGACCATAATTTAAAAGCTCTGACTAATTCTTGTGATAACAATTGCTATTTTTAAACCAAACCCTGCGCTACTATAAATTATTTGCATTATTTATGGTACAAGGGTTGTTGTTACGCCGCAGACTGTCTGCTGTGTCTAGGTCAAGGTTCAGCCTTACTGGCCACTGCAGTGGCCATAAATCTTTTTGGGATCAGAGCTCCGAGCTGCTCTTACCTTGTCATGCTTCTTTAGGATTTTCCGGAAACCGGTGTGATTCAGATTCTGGTAATTCTGCAGGAGGATCAGACTCAAATAGAACTCGCTGAAGGCCAACTTTAGCTCACGGGCTTTGCGATCCGGCAAAGCGGCGTGTCGCTTCTGACCCTTGGACTTCTTGGCACTGCGCTCCGACTCCTCAATGGACGTCTTAAGCTCGGCATTTAAGGTGGCAAACTTTCGCGTTGCCTCCGCCAGCTTCTCCGAGTAGAATGTGTTGATCTTCTTGAGTTCCTTGTCGCAGTAGTGAAAGAAGTTCTCGTCAAAGTTGGCAAAATGACGCTTCAGCACATCATCTTCAACACTTTCCACCGACGGGGCCTCCTCCACGGCCAGGTAAAGCATGGCCTTCATTTCCTGTGAAATAAACAAGGTTTTAATTCATAGTCTTTATGTTTAGTTTAGTAAAGTTTGGGGCACAACTCACCTCATAGTTGATGTACTGTTTACGCCACTCGGGCGTTATGTGCGCCGACAGGTGCTCGGCGAACTTCATGGCTATATGTCTAGGGCTAGCTCAGTCCAGTACGTATCGGATCCGTTCCGTTGATCGGCGTCCGCTGCACTGAAGCGCGTCGTCTGAAACGAAACAAATGTAAGAGTTGTCAGGGGCATTTCCTTATATGTTTTAAAATTGCAGAAATCAAGAGGGGAATATAGAATATTTCAGGGTTTGGAAATGGGTGGAACTTAACAAGGTTACAAAAAGAACCCTTTAACTATAGATAATTCCCTTAATAAATAAACTACAAGTTATATAGGTTTTTAAGCATAACAGAAAAGATTATACCCTTCTTTATAATGACTCACTATCGGAATAGAGTACAATTTATATCTTTATTTGAACATATATGAGTAATGCCTTGTAGCATGAGAGCTCTATGGGTATCCAATGATATTATCCATGAGTTTCGGCTTTCTCCCAGCAATTTAACGGATGAGTGACCTCAACTAATGACCAATGACGTGTTCAAGTCAATGCAGGTAAGTTAGTTAATCACAGCGTATTAACTAAACCTTCGTAAATCGCACCTCGATGTATGTTTATAGGTGTGTTTTCTTGCTGTATTTTCCCTAACTGATAAGCCACAGTCCCAAATAATAGCTGGAAAATAAGCAGAAAATAAGAAGACCTTGGGAAACCGAAATTTCAATGCCCTTACAAAAGGGAATCCACCATATCTCAGTCAAAAATGCATTAATTTTCAAACGGAAAGCGGTACTATGTTAGTTTTTAGAAGGTTAATAAATCTGCATACTCAGTTTAAAATTGAAAAAATTTAAATTTTTTCTAAATTTTTAACGATGCAATCCCTTAAAAAATTGAAAAAAATTTATAAATTTTTTTTTCTCCCGGAGATAGCTAGATCGATTCGCCTGATTATGCTGATCAAGAATATATATGATTTATAGGGTCGGAAATGATTCCTTCATTGAGTTTTAAGCTTCTGACTGAAAGTATGATACCCTAAAAATGGTATACCATATAAAAAGAGGTATATACATAGGTATAAGCCATAATATAACAAATTATTGGAGGGTAGGGTAGGCTTCTTCTTTACAGAATGTACTATATCTCATTAACGGGGCCCGCATAATGAGTTAAGCAAATTGGAAAATTTTTGTCGCCATGGTAAACATCAGAGGCGGAGATACAGCCTCACAGATATAGCCACAGAAACTGGAGAATGGAAACTGGAGTCTCTGTGGAGCGGAGGATGCGGGTAGGTTTTAATCAATTGCACAAATATTTGCGTCGCCAACTGTCGACATTGCTGTGCTTTATTTATTATAATTATTTTTTCCCCAATTCCGCTCTTTTTTGTTGCTCTCTTTCTGGGCGTAACTTCCGACAGCACTCCTTACCTGAACAGGTAAAAGAAATGATACTAAGATATATGGGTTAACTGGGCTTTAAGCCTTGTCTCTTTGTATTTAGTTAGTTTAGTTCATTAGAGATTTAGTTATATCCTTCGGCTTTATATTATTCTTTAAATATAGTTTCTTATTCATTTATAAACAATTGAAATTCAGCAAAAGTTCTTCTTATCAAAGCCCTATCAATAACCCTGTCGAAATGTTGTTTATATTATTTTTAACCTTATAGGTTTGGGATTGGGTGGGTGTCTTTTTGATTGAAAAGCCTTGAAGAAAGTATTTGAAATAGACTTTAATAGGTCTTTAAGGATGTTATTTTATGGTCTGGCTCCCACCTAGTTTAAAAATCAAGTTAACTAAGGTGTAAACACTTCCTCTACCACACTCAAGAACCCAAAAGAGTGGACAATATATATGTACCTACATATGTGATAATTGATGACGAGGGTCAGTGGGTGTAAGGGTGCGGAACGAGGTGGACGTTTCCGACTGGCGGTCAATTAACGTCAAAGGTATGGGACACTATAAATAGATCGACTTGGCCGGCTTGGTTTGATTGATTAGACCACCAGGAACAATGGTAAACAATCATCGTAATAATGGATTGGAAGGAGTGCCCATTCCCTGATCGATCGACATCGCCGGTGGATCTGAAAGCCGCTCTCGGAACGGAGGCGAGAAGTGTCCGTCGGTATGGTTGTGGGTCTTATCGCCTTATCGCCGCTATTCACAGATTTCTCTTCTGTAGTTTAATTAGCACTGATAACGAAACAGTTAGGCGTATAAAACATGTGCTATATAGTAAGTGGCTAGTGACTAAAAACAAAAGCAACGCCGGCTGACACACAAAGCTCCCCTATAATCGCCAAGACATCGGCGGAACACATCGACCGACGGCGTCACACAGACGTTCTAGCAAATATTTGATCAATAAAGCAATGGAAAATGGTTTGAGTTTTGAAACGAATTAGGAAATACTCTTGTTTACACTACTTGAGATATGATTAGGATATAAACAATAAAATAAACTGTATAGGAAGGAAATTTCCTATTGACTATCTTGAAAAGGAACTAAGATTTGTTAGATTGTGTTAGTGATATCTATAAGATATTATTATTAAGGTTTTAATTGAACTTTTTGAAACTTTACTAAGGTATCAGTCAGGAAACCCCTTAATAATTAATGCTCTACTTGTATGTCTGTATCATTTATATATCAAGTCAGTTGTATTTATCATTTATGTATCAAATAACCATTAATTTACACCATATTTTCATTATATCTTTATATAATTAATCTTTACATATTTAATATAAATGAAATATCATATAAATTAATGGTTATATATATTATATTATAAGAGTAATGTGATAATTCATCAAAGTCAGTTAAGACTGTATAAAAAGCACAGTCTTAAGTTATTTGAGCAAGGAGTAATATATATTTTATAGACTTATCACCTTCACAGCTATATTACCTTTTTGCAAAAGGTATATAATGTCAATTAATAAAAGCAACTTTAATATTCCCAAGCTTTGTACACTTTTAATGGGATTTATTAAAATTTAAGTACTTGTTTCTCAAAGGAAGATATATATATAGATACAGACAGATCATATAATGAAAGTATCTTTAAGTTTATATCCCCTAAAATCATATTTAGAAATTCTGTTGATATAAAGACACTTTTCTTGGCATAATTTTCACTTATTTCTTTGCTAATCAAATAAGATGCAAGCTTTTCGAAATAAAATGTTCAGGAAATATAAAGAAAGATATATACTAAAGACTTTTGCATCAGAAAATCAAAGAACAAAGCACACAAAGCCAAGAGCCAAGATATGTGCAGATATTTTTAGAAGCTTCAGCTTAAAACTTAATCACTTCCGAGAAAAGAAAATACGTTTTTAAAGCTTCACCGATTTTACTGACTGATTTGCAGATTTTCGCCTTTGATATATATTTTTCTTTATTTTGATTTTGAATTCCGACTGACGTCGGCAGCGGCGTCGGCAGAGAAGAGTCAGCTACAAAGCACCGTAAGCGTAAGCGTCAGCGGCAGAGCGCCAGCGCAGCTGAGCTCGAGAATCGACAAATTGTGGTCTTGTGATTTGGGGGAACTTGACTTCTGGCAATTGGGACAAACGAGGCGCAATTGGAGGCACCCAGTCCGAGATTATCGGTTCGCGCGGTGGTCGGGGCAATTGCATTGCAATTACATAAAGTTACATACATACGTGCACTGCTGCTGCTGCTGCTGCTTCTGCAATTGCAGTTGCAGTTAGTCCGCTGCTCCTGCTGCTGCTATTTTGGCATCTCAAGCCCCGTCGCTGGCCATTACTAATTGTCAACAGTCGGTGATTTGTTAAGTACACTGCTTATCACAGAATAACGCGCTCCGCGGCCGAGCAGACGGGATATCAGTCGAAAACGATGCGAGGCGAATGCGAGGGCGAAACAAAACAGACCAGCACAGCAAGTATTGGAAAACGGGCGCGCGTTTTAACAAAATGCCGTGTTGGCTAACGTTCGCAAAGCGCTGCCAGAAAAAAATACTGAAATAAGTTCTGTAATTTGAAACTAGAAAGAAATGCAACTGAGAATAATGCAAATCAGTAGAATTTAGGAACTTTTATAAGCTGCAGACGAAAAAAAATGCACTTATACAGTATTCACTGTATGTGCAAATCAGTTTCTGGTATTTTTTTTCAGTATGTCTCGACGAGCGTGCCAACTTAATTCGCTCACCGAAAACTGGTCACACTGCCTGCATTAACGCAAACAAATTGCGATTCGAGCAAAAATAAACAAATCGTTAATTTCACCACATCCGGACACATAATTAAACCAGTCGCTCCTCCGTTCCATGAGTGCGAACCTAAAAAACATCAAGCTGGGCCACTTTGGTGGCGGCGGTGGCGGGACATCCGTCGGCGGTGTGGGCAGCTCCGGTGGCTTTGGCATCTCAGCGTCGTCGGGAGGTGCTGGTAAATTGCCTACCAATGGCACGGCTGGTGGTAAGTCAGCCTCTGCCAGCACCTCCACGGAGGCTGAGGTGCTGGCCACGCCCGGAGGTGTCATCATACCGCTGATTCGCACCAGGGACGTGCCCAGGCTGTTGCCAACCATTGCCACCGCGCTGCAGCGTCCGTCGGACGATCATTTGGCCGCCGAGGATCTGGACGCTGTGCAGCTGGAGCTGGAGCAGATGCTCTCGAACGTGGCACTCAGGACGCGTGTTCTCAAGGCCGAGTATGACAGCCTGGACAAAGACGACAAGCGCCAGGATCGTCGTAAGATGGATCGTGTGCCCGGATCACCTCCCTGTCAATCCACCATGCTCAACGGACTGTTGGGCATTTGTGGCACCCCTTCCACAGGTGTGGGCAGCCCGTCCGGTGGCGGCGGCGGCGCCTCATCCTCCAGCAACACAAAGCGGAAACGCGATGAGCCGACGGGCGTGCGCAAAAAGCACTCCTCAATGACCATCCTTAAGCAGCAGGGCGGTGTCACTGGTTCCACAAAGCATCAGGCCAAGAACAGTCCCATTGCCAACCACACGGATGATAGTATGGATTATTTACCCAACCTGGTGTCTGCCAGTGCTTCCGGATCGGTGCTGCCGCACCACCAGCCCCAGCCACAGCTGCCCAAGGTATCGGTCCCGAAAAATGATACACCCAACAAGTTCTGGCTCTCCATCGAACCCTTCTGCATGCCGCTGACCAACGAGGATCTGCGCCTCATCGACGACCTGTTAGAGCAGTACCGCGGGCCCCTGGTGCCGCCGGTGCCCCCTTTGGGTCCCCACTACTCTACGGTATGGGCGGAGGAAGACATGAAGGCCCTTCAGCCGGGTGGAGCTCGCGGCAAGTCGCAGAACGCCACGGCAATGCTTAAAAAGGCCGAAGGAATGGTGGAGGAGAGCATCACGGGACCGCTCACTCAACGACTGGTGTCCGCTCTCATGGAGGAGTCCCTGCTAACCCTGCCCAGCGAACAGGCGGCGGTCGGTGAGCATAGCAACAGCACCACAAGCAGCAGCAACGAGAACACACACTCCCACTCATCAAGCTCTGCAGCAGCAGCTGCAGCGGCTGCCTCTGGCAACTTCCGATCGCTTTTCATGCTCAAACACGGCGTTGGAATCGAACAAAGGCTGAAGAAGGAGCTGCTGGATAACGGACTGATCGACCCCAGTGAGTTTGCTGCCCACGAGGATGTTGACGAGGTGCTGTTGGAGATCAAACGCGTTACGGCAGAGATCAGCAGCGTTGCGCAGTTCAACAGCGAGGAGCTAAAGCGCCTTCGAGCCGCCGCAAGCGAGGAGATCAAACGGATTGCACTCAAACGAAAGCTGGACGTTGTAGACCAGGAGATACTCGAGTGCTACAAGCGAATGCTACAGTATCGGGCCAAGCGCAAGGGTCACACCATCGAGGAGAAGCAAGAGATCTTGCGGCTAACCAACGAACAGCGTCTGCTGGCCGATCAACTGGAGCGTATGCAGATGCATGTACCCAGCGCCGGCGGCTCGTCCGGGTCCCTTATAGAGCCCAAGATGTAGGACAGGACCCTGGCCTGGGGCTGGTACCAGCTAATGGCCATGCATCAGGCAAAGCGGCAGGTTCGGGACGAAGCCCTGCAGTTGCAGTGTTTCTGATAGGACCGGGTCCCCCGTTAAAATGCTTCATCTCTAACTCTCCGCCAGACTGTAAATTAGCAAGGATATAGCCAAAAGCCCTGGAGTTGGATGGCTCGGAGAAGGATACATGTAAGCACTAAGTGAATTCTTAATCATCGAATCTTTACTTGTGTAGGAACAGCTTTCCCCATCAGGGTCTCCTCCTCCTTTTCGGCGAATGTACATTAACAAAGATATATAGTATCAACCAGCACATGGATCGGATGAAGTGTTTTAGTAGTGGAAAGTAATCTATGGCCGCAAATTCCGAAGAGTAGCTTTTAAGTGTTTAAGGATCCAAAGATGATCTTTGTAGGAAACTATTTTCAGCATGTGAAGTATATGTTTTGCAGGATCAACTGCCTTTGTTTCTAAATTGATGAAGCAAATTTTAAATGAAAATGTAGGGATATTCAAGGAACTTACACCTTAGATTACTATCCGCCCCTACGATATATATATATATATATTTTTTAATCTTTTTTTCAACATGTATTTATCACTCTCTCACAATGAAGAAAACAACACACACGTACACTTTGTATAGCTTAAGTTATCGCGAGGAAATAAAGTTGTCACTATCGAGAATGTATACCGTAGATTTTGGTCCAACGAAGATGTGGTGGCTGGAGAAGAGCTACCGCACTCAGCGAACACCTTGAACGCTTTAAACCCGATCCAGTGGCCGGCACGAGCCAAGTGGGCTCTCCTCCGCCGGCAGCGCCGGAAGTGGAGGCGCCTCCTCCACAGTAACTCCAATAGCTATGTTTACTCGACCGATAGGCCAACCTTGCACACACAATCAAAGGCGGCAGCGGCAAATCCGGAGGAACGCTAATTAAAACCAAACAAGATGGTTTGCTCTTCGATCCGTGGATGCCCTTCCGGAGATCGCAGCTTCCCATATCTACCTACCACACACGCCGCTAATCTCTGCATACAGATTTTTGGGGAAATAAACTTAATTTGTTTAAGAAAAAGATGTTTAAAGAGCATATCTCTAAGATGAAGCTCATAGTGATTTGTTTTGACATTTTTAAATATTGATTACTGATAAATATCGATTTAAATGTAAAAGCTTCGATATTCTCCTCGATCCTATTATTTAATTGCAAACTGCAAGGATATATTAACTTGAGCTGCTTGAAGTTAGTTTCCTGCTTTGTTTGTACTTTATTTTATTATTTTATTTATTTATTTAAATATTTTAGTGGTATATTATAACAGTTATTTGTTATATTTCGGCATTCCCATTAAGCGCAGTATATTTGCAAAAGCCCAGCACGGTCATACTGCTCCCGGCTGCTCAACAAGTTGCCTGTTTTATAGTTCTCCAACTTACTTTGTTACAACCGCGTTAAGGAAAAACAACAGTACTGCAAAATGATCAAGGTATGTGGGTGTCGTAAACATTAATAACTATATAGCGATTGCAGTGGAATCAGTGAAGACAAAATGGCCCGATGACCCGGCGGCCGGGAGCAAAGTCCAATTGGGATTTGGACTCGTGTCTGTGCCGGTGGCCCATAAATAACTGTATCTGTGTCTGTAGCGGTGCACCTTGTACCCGCCTCCAATTAGCATTTACTTCTTCGCGAGTTATACAATAACACAGTGTCATCCTTTTGATGATTTTATCTGGAATCTAAAATGATAACCCTGGAAGGCCTGATAAACCGGCAGCAGACTTTCATTCTTCTACGTTTACTGTGAAAGTTTGCAGATACTAGTGTCTGCAGCTTGTTTACCATAGCCAATCCTATATTATAGATTTAAAGCTGAACCAAATAACCATTGTTGCAATCCCTAGAACGCCGTATCGCTGGTTACCGGAGGAGCCTCTGGCCTGGGTCGTGCCACCGCCGAGCGTCTGGCCAAGCAGGGCGGCAGCGTCATCCTAGCCGATCTGCCCTCGTCGAAGGGCAATGAGGTGGCCAAGGAGCTGGGCGACAAGGTGGTCTTTGTGCCCGTGGATGTGACCTCCGAGAAGGATGTGAGTGCCGCCCTGCAGACGGCCAAGGATAAGTTCGGTCGACTGGACTTTACGGTGAACTGCGCCGGAACCGCCACCGCTGTCAAGACCTTCAACTTCAACAAGAACGTGGCCCATCGTCTGGAGGACTTCCAGCGGGTGATCAACATCAACACCGTGGGCACATTCAATGTGATCCGCCTGTCGGCCGGTCTGATGGGCGCCAATGAGCCCAATGTGGACGGACAGCGCGGCGTGATCGTGAACACCGCCTCGGTGGCTGCCTTTGATGGCCAGATCGGTCAGGCGGCATACTCGGCCTCCAAGGCTGCTGTTGTCGGCATGACCCTGCCGATTGCCCGCGACCTGAGCACCCAGGGCATCCGCATCTGCACGATTGCTCCGGGCCTGTTCAACACCCCGATGCTGGCGGCGCTGCCCGAGAAGGTGCGCACCTTCCTGGCCAAGTCCATTCCCTTCCCGCAGCGCCTGGGCGAGCCCAGCGAGTATGCTCAGCTGGTGCAGGCCATCTACGAGAATCCGCTGCTCAACGGTGAGGTAATCCGTCTGGATGGTGCCCTCCGCATGATGCCCTAAATGGATCTGGATGTGTTTTTTGGACTTAATTGGAATCCAGAGAACTGTTCGATCAGTTTGCATTTATCTATTTTGTAGTAATTAAGCTGAAAAATGTTTTTTGTCCCGAAATTATGTAAGAATTGAAAATAAACACGCATTTTTCACATTTTAAATTTCGAGCGCCCTCTCTAAGGCGTTTTCCAACACTTGAAACTAAACTAAACTTTGTAAAGGGTATCATTGGTTATATTGTTTACAAGTCCAATACAAATCACACCTTTGGGGCAAAAATTGTTTAAATATTACCATTTAATAATGAAGAATTTAGTTTATTATTACTCAAATTTGTTTAAAGTTAAATTAATGCTTGCCATTTACGGGGCATCTCCATTTCGACTCTTGAAGCTTTTTTACTCATTTGTTTTCACCACTTTTGACGCAGGTTGGCAGTCCTATTCATCAAAAAAGCGGCAGACGCATCAATTGCAACTAGAAATCACTTTCTGGACTCCCGCAGCGAAGGATAATGCCGCCATATCAACGCTGCGGCGACATCGTGTGTCTGTGGAAGCGGCAGACACGCACCTTTGCCTTCCAGTGCATCTACTGCCCGGATCCGGCGCGCACGGCAACCACATTCAAGGGCTTCAAGTCCCACTTGGAGTCGGAGCACTCGGATTTGTTTGAGGATCGGGAAAAAGAGGACATCAAGCCATGTGTGGAGCTCAGGACGCTGCGCAGCCATGCTGGCAGCGATCCGGAGGCATTGACCACGTCCAAAGAGGAGGATCCGCTGGAAACGGAGGCTACGGACCTGGTGAAACAAGAGGAATCCTCGCTTGCTGATTCAGAGGCTGAACAAGAGGTGGACAAGTGGTCAGATGGCGACTACCAGAGCGTTACTTCCCTGGAATCCACCAGTCAACGGCCTGTGAGCTTACATTGACATCTTTCTCTTACAATTTACTAACCAATTTCTTAGGTGACCAGCTCCACGGACACCTCATACTTCTGGCTGCAGGAGCATCCTATAATGCTGGCATTCATTGCCCAACTGGAGCAGCAGCCTCTGCTCTGGGATCTGGGCATGGTGGCATACAAAAACTACAGGCGACGCAGCAAGGCCAGCGAGAAAATAGCCACCGGCTTGAATACCCAATTTGAGCTTAATCTCACGGGTCAAGAGGTGGCCACGCATGTCAAGCTGTTGCGAGATGCCTACCGGCGAGAGAAGATGCGCCTGGAGCAGCCCACGGAACCACCAGCAACCGCGGAGTGGTTCTACGGAAGACTGCACTTCCTGGCCAGCAGCCTGCCCCGCCAGCGGCAACCCAAGATGCTGAGCAAGGACGAGGCAGACACGGAGGCTGGTCCCGTGGCCCTGCTGAACCACAGCCAGAACCTGAAGCTCATCGAGCTATATCGCCAGTGCAGGCCAAACTGGGACATGCAGGACATGACCTGCCGGCTGCGTACTGTCCGCCAAGCGGCCAGGGATCGTCTGCTCGAGCTGTGTCGCAGCGAGCTAAAGATTCCACTGGAGCCCTCACAGCTGCAGCTCTTCATTCGCCGCCTGAGGAACACCTATCATCAGGAGAAGGTGCGTCGGCTCCAGAGTGAGCGACTGGGCAAAGTGTTTCGCTCACGGTCGCGCTACTACGAGAAGCTGGACTTCCTCGAACCTCACATGGCGCCCTTCCAATGCGACCTCTGTCCCGAGATGCTGAGCAGCGTGGACGGCTACCGAGTGCATCGATCCAAGCATGACGGCAGCCTGCCCTTCGTGTGCCCCACATGCGGCCGGGGCTTCTCCAAGTGCGGCAATTGCACCATCCATTTGCGGAGGCACACGCAGGACTACCATCTGAGTTGTGAGGAGTGTGGCAAGCGGTTTGCCACCACCACGGACCTACAGGTGCACCGGCGCTCGCATACGGGAGAACGACCCTATTGCTGTCACATCTGCGGCGGCCGATTCAGTACCGTGTCCTTTCTGGAGCGGCACAAGCGTCGACATGAACAGCGATCGGTGGCCAAGTGTCATATCTGCGGCAAAGGCTTCTTCGAGCGCACCGTGCTCAGGGATCACATCAAGGGACACCTGGATGTGCGGGATAAGGAGTGTGATGTGTGCCACAAGCGGTTTACCAGCGCCAAGTACCTGCGCCGTCATAAGGAGATCCACGACGAGCACAAGCGCTATCTGTGTAAGCTCTGTGGCAAGGGATTTGCCCAGTATGCCGGACTCAGTGGACACATGAAGTCGCATGTGCGGAAGAAAGACACTGCCACCGAGGGGGTAATGCTTCCTCCTGATTCTGATCACCAAGGAGGGATCCAAGGAGCAGGATTCGAGCTTTGAGGATTGGGGTAAGTACTTAACCCTTAAACCCTTATTTTTAATGCTAACTTGAAGCTGTTTTCTTCATTTACAAGAGGTCTTAGCACTTGTCTTACATAAATTTAAAGTTCAACTGCAGTAATCCCTGATAATCTGTAGTTCCATAGCCGGGTCAAGGGCCTTGAGGCGCTTGCTCCACTTACCCACAAATCACCAAAGTCCAAGCACTAAACCTAGGACCCACCCACCCGCAGAAGCTATCGCCAGGCGCCGGCAGTCAGAGTAAACAGCAGCGTATGTGCGATATGGATATATATAAGTAGTAAGAGAGATATGTCCGAGGGCAGGAACTGCATTTCACACACTTCGCCAGTTAGTTTTATTTATATTTAAGCGAGTGTTTTGGCATTTGTTTGGCTCGCTGCTTATCTTATCGAAGAGTGGCTGGCTGACTGGCATTCTGGGACTGTGGAACCGTTGGAATTGCTGGAACAGCGATAAGGGCATGCCCGACCAGAATGCCACCAGCAATTCGTTTCATTCAGTCGAAATCGGAGCTGCCTGCGAATTATCCACCATCCATAACCCACCTTTAATGATAGTGCGTCATTCCAGTTTGAGAAAGAGGAGCTATAGTCTGGGATAGAGAGAGAGTGTGGAGCAGCAGCAGGTAGAGGAAGCCCCACAAGTGGCTTGTGGTCAGCGGCTAGAGAGATACCTTCCAGCGGTACAAGAAGTTGCGTTGCGTCTGACGGAAATAGGCACTTGACAAGCGGAAAAGGTGGGAGTTTACCACAGTCAGCACTCCATATCAAATCCCTTGAAAAGGCTACCAAGAAGTGGATTATTTTCTAAACTATTCAAAGCAATCCCAGCAATTTCCTCTTAGAGATTTTAAAGAAAACTAATTCACAGTATCTTTCACACTAGATAAGACCTCATGTTCGCTGTATCCATTGCTCACTGTGGCCACTATCTGGGCTTAAAATTCAATAGTCATAAACTAATTATACCGTCGATCATTTTTCCCTTTCCCACAGTTCTTGCCGCAGAACCATATCGTGTTCTTTCCCTGACGTCACTTGCCACCAGAATCGGAATCAGAAGAGCAGCAAGAGGAGGAGGAGGTGGAGGAGGAGTAGACTGGTCAGCTGCCTGTGGCGGGTATACCGATAAGCCCAAGAGCAGTCAATCGAGAAGTAGCCAGGGCTGGAGGGAAGACGAGGAGGAGTGGTAGGAGAAGCAATCCCGATAAACGATCCCCAGCGGAATGCAGGCGACAAATCAGCGGCCAGTCACGCCTGGAACGCCGGACTCGGCGCACATTGTTATCGGTGCCGCAGGATACGTGGCCCATGAGAGACGCCAGCAGGGCAAAACCCTGATGAATTGTTTCCGCGATCGCGATCGTTCTGCGTCCTCGTCGTCGCAGGGCGGAGCTCACCAGCAAGCCTATAAGCGCGGCCATAGCGTCACGTCTGGCACCTTGTACCGCCTGGAGGGCTCCAACGGCTCCATCAGCACCCTGGACATGGCTGGCCGCATGGAAAGTGGACGTCCCGATGCTGTGGTGCTCCTGCGGGAGCTAAAACTAAGCCGAATAAGTTGGCACTGCTCAAGAGCAGCAGCAGCAAGGATCTAACCCGCCTCTTTCTGGACGATGCAACCAATACGGCCGTGCTGGTATCCAACACTAGCCTGGATGTCTGCTCCTCCAACTCCAGTTCCGGTGGCAGTCCGGCAGTGGCCAGATCCCGTGGATCCAGGGATCGAAACCAGTCTGGAGCCAGGATGGAGTGCTGCAGCAGCTGCTCCAAGCGCTGGCAGGACCTCAAACAACGTATGCACACCCTGGAGCAGGATCTGCTGGCACAAACCAGCTACGGCCAGGAGCTAGAGCAAAAGGTGGCCGACATGGGACGCCAACTGGCAGAGCTGCTTCAGGAAAGGGACAAGGAAAAGCAACGCGCTGCTGCAGCAGGAGCTTCAGGATCGAACTCCGGATCGAGCAACAAGCGTCACCACCCCACAGGCAGTCCCAATGTACGACCCTCACGTCTGGTGGCCTGGATGAACCTGGCCAACTGGTGGAAGAGCCGTCCCAGTGTGGAGACACTGCGCGAGCAGCGCATCTTCTTCGACGAGCCCTGCTTTGACACGGAACTGGAGCTGGTGCTCAGGCACGATCAGCATCGTACAGTGCCCCGGATTGTGGTGGATTGCTGCGATCTCATTGAGCACAAATACCGCCGATCCACGCAGCCCATCGAAGGCATCTACCGGCAGTGCGGTGACTACAATAAGATCCAAACCCTACGGTTTAACATCGATGCCAACGACTACGAGGCACTGCGTCAGCCGGATGTCGATGTACACACCCTAACCGGCGTGCTCAAGCTGTTCCTGCGCGAGATCAAGAGTCCGCTGGTCAGCGTTAATGAGGCCAAGACCTTCATCGGATTGCCCAATCAGTGGTGTAAGTATGGGCCTACGCATCCGTTGCAGTATCTGTAATCCTCCTCTTTCCACAGTGCTCACCGATCTGTCCGTCAAGCTGGACACCCTGAAAAGACTGATACGTTCGCTGCCGGAATGCAATCGCGACACAATGGACTACATATTCGGGCACTTTAATCGGTGAGTGGATAACATCCTCCTTTTGAGAACTTTTGGTAAATAATGGGAATATCTATACAGGCTAACTAAGGTGCCACTGCAGCAGATAAGCGCCGAAACGCTGTCCATATCGGTGACACCGACCATCTTTCACACGGTGCCGCAGGGCGTGCACGTCCAGGATATCCAGCAGCTGCTGCGCGAGGGCGAAACTCTGGCGGACTGCGTCAGGCTGATGATCGAGCACCACGGTCGCATATTCGAGTAAGTGAGCCAGCCCCATTGAAGTAGGAGGAGGGCCTCATTCCGCTCTGCCCTGGTCCTGGTGATGGTGCCTTGGTTCCTAGCCCCGAATCCCAGCTGCTTTCGTCCCATCAATCTGCTCACCCCTGTGCCGTTGTTGCCTCTCTATCTCTCTCGAACGAATGCTTTGTTAACCACGACATCCCGAACCTGAACCCACTGTACCTGCCCCTGTCCCTGTCAATCCCTACCTTCCCATCGAATCCCGTCGCCCCATTGTCTGCAGATGCACCGCCGATCGTCGCCTGCGTCGTCTGAGCGTGCGCAACCTGAAGAAGACACTGTCCCAGCCGGATCTGCTCTTTCACAACCTATTCTGATGAGGACCAAGCTCTGGGAGTCCTAGAAGAGAGAGCACCGTGTACATATTGAATGACTTTGGGTGCTTAAGATTACTTACTTGCATACAGGCCAACATATTCGATTCTTTTTGTTACCATTTTAAACTTTGAATTTAACTTTTGTATTTATAAATAATAAATTGAGACTTGAGCCTTATAAAGGGGTCTTTAAGCTTTCCTATTTTTAAAATTAAAGTTAGGCAGCAAAAACTATATACCCCAAAATAAGGTTTATGTAGCTTATATTGATTTTATAAAGTTGAATTCAATATTTTTCTATTCTTAAAACTGCAATATATCAAAGTTTGCTATATGTTTAATATGATATTATGCATGATTCATGTTTTTTTTAAGTTATATTCTGGCCAGTCCTAAGTGTTTTTAGATGTCAGAAAATGTTTAAATTTGTTTAAATAACAAACACACCCGTTTTCTCAGAATATATATCCCTGATTCCTGGAAGATTAAGCTAAAGTCAAGCCTGGTTTAATCATAAAAGACCGGCAATTGATTTACTTGATTGTATATATAATGTTCTTTTTTATATATTTTTTTTTACTTATTTTTGTATTTATTTATTTGAACTGCTCTATAACATGGTGGGGTGGCTTCTTTCTGGGAGGGATGGGGGAATGTGGGCTGGTGGGGACTGAGACGGGAGCACAAGAGTTGCCAAGGGAAGAATCTATGATTTCACAATACAGTCTAATCGTCTCTAGAGCTAATAAGTAATAGATTTAATATATATATATATAGATTTGTTTAAAAACCAACTGGTTTTAAGTGCTAAGTGGCCTAGGTATATATATGCCTTCATTTATGTGTGTATATATTAGATATATGCGTGTATGTCCTAGGTGTACATGGGGCTTCGATCCGATACGATCTTTAGACTGTTCTCATTAACATTAACATTTAAACTTTAGACATATGCTTGTGGGCTGGGTGAGTGTATGTAAACATATATTAAGCATGCTCCTCTGCTCCTCTGATCACAATTCGGGGTTTAATCGATGCACGTGTGTATGTTACCTTGTAGACTAAATATATGAATGATTCATAGATGTAAATAGATAGGATTCTGGTCCTGACATCGACTCCAATTCGGTTTGCTTGCAATTTCCAATGTGGGGCTTACGAAACTGAGGCATTTGCTCGTCGTCAATCAAAATAAGATACATATCGAAGGCACAGGAATATTGGAATACTCTAGGGGAGGGGCCGAGGTCCTCAGAACTGAATCAAACTGAATTACTACTGGGTATTCCATGCAGCTGCCGCTACGCTTAACTTAATACGCTGAACTCCATTCATTTGCCACACCGTGTATTGCTTAACGTTCAATTTGTGATGCGCTTCTTATGCCTATTCGCTTCCTACTTGAAGAACGGGTTCTTCGACGCCGATGACTTCATCGTGCACAAGATCTGACGCTCTAGCTGAAAGTCGTAGTCTAGGGACTTGAGCAGCGTCGAGATTTCGGGCAGTGTGGGTATCTGAGCGGGTAGCAAATACTCAATTAGAGCGGAACAGTTGGCATTACTTCTATTACTCACATCAGTTCCGGCTTGATGACGCTGCAGCCTCGCGTCCATCACAAAGGGCACGCCCTCCAGCTCCGTGTAAGTGCCCAGGGTGCCAGTGCCGCCATAAGTACCGCGTCCTCCTCCGGCGCCGCTTCCACCTCCCGCCGGACGTGGCGGCGCCGGTCGTTGTGGCGAGTTTATTTGATAATTGGCTTGGATCTCCTCATAGTCGTGGTGCTCAGTCGGTGGCTGTGGCAGCTGCAAGCAATAAACCATAATCAATAAACCATAAGCTCAGGCAGAGCTCTAGGCTAGACACACTCACCGGTCCACGCGAATTGCGGTGTCCCTGCAGATTGAGACGGTTTAGGGCCTGCTCCACCTCACAGGTGCTACCGGCGATGGGAACTGGTGGTGGCAGGCGCACAGGAATGGCACCTGTCTTGTAGCAGATGAGCACCCCGTTGATGTCGCCGGCCAGCTTGAAACCATCGGGCGCTACCTTCAGCTTGGAGCAGAGAATAATGTCGGTGACGGCCTGGGTGACAGTTCCACGCTTGGACAGCTTGTAGGCTATCTGCCGCTTACGCCAGGCCTTCTGGTCACTGTCAGCGGTGCGGGATAACAGTGAGAATTCCTTGGGCGGTGCTGTCTTCTCTGCAATGACCCTGGAAAGGACAAAGGGAGTTATAGTTCAGCTTGAACCATGGCGGAATCTCAGTAAGACTCACTGGAGTGTTTCCACCACATATTCGGGTAGACCCTCGGACTTGGACAGGCAAAGATATCGTGTATTCTGGCGTCCAAAGATGCTGTAGTCGCGCCACAGATCGGCATCCGAATCCTGGTCGTAGGTGCGGTGAATGGCATTAAAGTTCTTCGGGCAGCTGCATATGAAAGTGAGGTAGAGATTGTAAGCTTATGGTAACGTTAAGGATTCAGGATATAATACTTACCGTTCAAAATCCTCTACTATGTGAAGCGAGGTAATGGGACGATTGTCGGGCAGGATGCCTATTATTGAATTGAACACATTTGTGGCCCCGGTAGTACCAGTTCCGTTGGCTCCCTCCAGCGGTGAGCCAAGCAGTGCTGCCGTGGACAGGACCCCGCTGCTGCCACCATTGCCCAGTGATGAGACGCCGCTCTGGATGTGCTTGCCCACCTTGTTCATCCTTTCGCCTTCCTTACTTCGACTTCTGTTTGGATGAAAACATAACAAATAAGTTAGCATTATAATATCTCTCTTCGTTGGCATTTAGGGAAAAGATACATCATAAATAAGTGTGGGAACTTCCTCTACTACAATCATATTATATTTTTTTAATTGTAAGCATAATTTACATTTAATTTGTAACTAAATGGCGTGGTAAGCTGCCTTTATTCCCATTACTCTCAGCAAGTAAATACAAGTTACTTGTAAGAAGGCGAAACGACTTTCTTTTACGCTCCAATTTTGGGTCAAGTTATTAACTAAATAAGGTTGTTATGATCACAAACAGTAATCTTTATAAAATAGGTTGAAATCTAAGCCAATAATCAAGCAGCAAACACTTTAAAATACATTTTAATTCAATTATAATGCCTTGGCTTTCTTCTTAGACTTTTTGCCGATAAAGTTGGACTTATCGGCCCTTGCTGTGATATAATTTTAATTAGTTTGTTTAGTTTCGCCTCCTCAGATTTGACGGTGTGTTTTCCCTGACCAGATGCGTGATTCATGATCTTGCTGTGTTGGGTTTTTTTTGCATTCTTTTGTAGGTCGCTTGGCCCGCACTCCGCCAGGGCCGGACCCGGTCCGAGTTTCTCTTTGGCAGTACAGAGATATAGATATATGGCCATGGGGCACTTGGGGAATGCGGGGTCAGGCCCGGGGTGTTGGGGCAGTAAAAATAAACAAAGTTCAGTGAGTGCGCCGCACTTTATAATCGAGGGCCCGGAGATGGGTCTCTGGGTTTTTTATTTATGCGCTTTCCGGATTGTCAATTTGCTGTTTATTTGCGCTACTGATAAGATATATGAATAGCTATATATAGTATTTAAGCTGGGCCAGCAAGGTGACGGCCGGATTGAGTCATCCGGAAACTGTAGTCAAGAAATTAAAAATCAGAATTCGGACACCAAAGATCATGGACAAACCCCAGATTTCGGGGGAACAAGAGTGTAAACAATATTAACTGTAGTAAAAGCTATATATTCACTGAATATCGGAGGATAAACTGGTAAACTCCCTAACTTAGGTATTAACCAAGAAATCAATCTGAAATAACTTGATATTGCTTTCCAAACCCATCTATCATGATATAGGGTCTTTGTATTCTTTTTTTCCCTCTCCAATATGTACATATATATACTTCCTAAGGTTTCGAAATAAAGAAAATCTCTTTGGCGGCCCGGACAAAGAAAGGCGATATGGGAGAAGGGGGCCGTTACAGCGTAACCCGAGTGGGGGTTGGCTATGGCTCCCCCGTCTGATAACCAAAGTGGAGCACAACACTTGGAGCTTATAAATAGAAACACTCCGGGAACTTGGTATTCGTGAAAAAGCACACTTCCAATTAAAGAAATTAATAGGAATTAGAGGGAGAGAGGAGAGGAGGGGCTCCTTTCCACAGCATCCACACACAAGCACGTACCGTTTTTTATCCCGTAGAAGATGGAGCGATTCCGGAGACCCAATGACTCCCGGGCGACAACCGGCTGTTTCACCATTCAATGTGCGCGACACTCTTTCGGACCCGGCCGCTTAATTTAATATAAACAATTAACAATTACGCGGCCCGTGCCGTCGTTTTGATTTGCAAAAGAAAACAAAAAATTATGGATTTTAACAAAATATCACTATTCTTTTGGAATTTTCTTGTCTTCTTTTTTGGTCACTCTGAATTCCGAAGCTGTTATTTAACATTTTACATCTTACACGTCTTTAAAGCAATTTTACATTGGGGAAGTAGAATTCCTTAACAGATATTTTTGTTTGATAATTTTTCTTTAGCCACTCTGAATTCCGAAGCTTTTATCTAACATTTTACATCATTCACGTCTAGGAAAACATTTACATGTACGAAGTAAATTTCATTAACAGATCTTCTCTCATTCAGACAGAAAAAGCCTAAATTAACAAAATTCTTTCTCTTATTATCTGTTAAGCTCTTTTTTTTCAATTCACCAGCCCTTTTCTGTTAACGCTCTCTGTTATCGATTTATATAATTGACTATCGAAATCGAACAACGACGTAAACCAACCGCGTAGTAATCGAAAACGTAATGTTTAAATTTAAAAGTTTGTCTTTCCGTGGATAAATATAAAATATATAACTGTAGTTTATTGAAACATCTGGAACATTTAATTTTAATAATCCATGACAAAATCATTGCAAATTTAACTTTATGTTTTATTCTCTTACAAAAGTGCCTTAAAGTATATTAAGTTGCAGATGTTATAGTCGGAAATCTGTTTATCTTAGCTGCCCCAGGAGCTATCCGACCCAATATGCCTAAATATATATCTATTAGACGATTTAAGCAATACATTTATAGAATTTTATAAAGTTTAACCGACTTTACGCGACTTGGTATATAAGTCGCCCATAGAAACGATCTTGCCAAACATATATTTTCCAGTTGCAACTGAAAGGGCATTAAATTGTCGGCTTACTCTCTAGTTTAACTTATTTTTCACAAGATTTTTGTGTCACAAATTTATCGATAGGATCGATTCAATACTATCGAAAGCACATTACAATTTGCACTTACAAATAACACATCACTAGCGCGCGTCAAGACAAGAATTCAAATTTTAAATAAAAAAAATTAACCAAAATGAGGGAGTTGCAAAAACGTTGTAACCTCCACTCGAAAGGATTACTCGCTAAACTGGAAGCACCACAGAAATCGCTGCGGGCTAGAAATCAATTAAAAAGCTGTCCAAAAGTAACTTTCGGGACATATATTAAGTGATTCCAAAGCTACTGCAATTCCTGTGGCACGCGTGAATAAATATTGTATGTTCGCACTGTTCCTGTACTGTGAATAAATATATTTCCGCCGGAAGCTCACTCCTTCGACCGGCAATAGGGCAAGGTGGCCTCGCAGGGTTCCGTTTCCGGTGGCTTGGCCAGCGGGCCGCACTCTGCATCAGCCACCACCACGTCGTGCTGGTCCAGGCAGACAACAGAACGCCGGCGCAGCGGAGGAGCTGATGATCCTGGCGGGCGGCAGGTGAGCGGACAGAATTGCCACGGTCCTGGCCACCAGTGAGCCGGACATGGTTGCTCGGCGCAGGCGCGCGTCTGTCGCTGGGACCTCCTGTTCTTGGCATGTGTCCAACAGGGCAGCGTGTCGCCCAGCACTGTGGATGGGAAATTGAAATGTAAGTGGAGATAAGTTAAGATTTCCCATCACTTTTACTTACTCTTTCCATTCTCCTGGCATACCGGCTCGCGATGCTGCACCCCACCGCCACAGCTGGCGGAGCAGGCGGTCCAGTTGCTCAGGCGCCACATGAACTGCCGGCCGGCGCTGATGTTCACCGCCGGAAGAGTAAATTCGTAGAAGATGCCCGAATTACTCTCATTGCCGCGCACAATTGCCTGGTAAGGAAGAGAACAAGGATAATGGATAATGGATCTCTCTCCTTTTCCAGATAATTTCAATGCCCCACTTACATATAGCGATATGGAATGCTGGATGGGCTGAGGTATTGTGATGGTCTCCTGCTCATCGACCCGATCGTAAAGGCTCTCGGCTCCGGCTATCTCGAATTCACCCGGCATGGAGATGAGGCTGTCGCCATTCAGATAGAACCGATCGCTATGGGCTCGACCCACGGCAAGGAAGTGCGGCGAATTGGCCTGCTCCCGGATGAGTATGTGACGTGCTCGGGCTGGTATGGTTACAATTTCCACATAAGCTCCATCCTTGGCAGCAAATGGATCAAGGAAGACATCCCTCACCGGCTGGCACTGATCACCAGAGCCGCCACAGACACCGCAACGATCATCCTGCATCTCCGAGTCGACGATCCAATCGCAACCAACTTTCTGAACGAAACGCGATTTGGGCTCAGGGTTATTGACCACGGGATCGTCGCCGGCGTATACCTTACCTTGCAGATGCCATCGATGCACATGTTATTGGTGCCCAGTGTGCAGGGTGTGCCGTCCAGGACCGTGGAGCCCCAATTGGCAATGATGGTGTCGTCCACATCGGTGCAGAATAGACGGCAGGGATTATCTGATCAAAGAGAAAGATGGAGTATAGAATGCTTCGTAGTCAAAGGATATTTCTCTAGAGAGACCACTCACCCTTGTCGAAGAAGGGCAACCACTTGTAGGTGGCACCCTGATAGCTGACATTATCAAATCGGGCACACTGCTGTGCCCTAAAGCTGGGCTCCTGCTCCGGGCATGGTCGTTTCCGGCAGATCTTGTAGCGCTTCCGTTCGCCTATGCAAAAGACACCACCATTGGCCGGCACTGGGGAGTCACATTCCCGCTGCTGAGTGGACACACCGCCACCACAGCTCCGTGAGCAGTCACTCCACTCGCTCCAATCGCCCCAGCCTCCATTGATGGCGGCTAGCTCCTCACGGCGGACACACTTGCCATTCTGACACCACTTATTCCTGCCGCACAGTGTGCCCGGGGCAGTGGGACGCATGTGGGTGACACACTCACCATTGACCTTGCACCACAACGTCGAACAGAACTCATGGGGGGCGGAGCAGGCGCCCACCTCACTGTCATTGGTCAGGTTGAACTGGAGACGGCACTGGCCGCGGGCATTATACCGCATACCAGGTAGTTCTCCAGTATAGTTGTATTCATTCAAAGGTGTGGGTGGATCATCCAAGCACTCGCCCAATCCCTGACTGAAATGAATAGATATAAGATATAGTTTAGATATATTATCCGGGATAATCCTAGCTTCAACTTACTCCAGGAAATGTGTTATGTACTTCCGGCTACAGTTTGACCAGCAAACCTGCAGTGTATCCGCTCCAAAGGTGGGCGTCATAATGTGCACAATGGGACCCACTCGCGGATGGCAGCCAATCTTGGCGGTGTCATGGAACATGCCAAAACTGTGGACAAAAAGAAGATCATTTGTTTGTTAGTATTTCAATCTGTTAAGTAGGAAACTTCAGTCTCCATCCTCCTACTCATTCCCCTCCTCTAACAAAAAAAACCTGATTATTTGTATAATGGAATAATAGTCAGCAAATGGATATATATCCGATTAAAAGCACATAAACAAATACTTGATACCGAGCAACGCGAAACCAAAACAAACAGACGACAGGCCACCTGTTGCTACCGCCCAGAGAGGTTCCCTTCCGCTCCGTTCCGGCCACTTGACTTACACAACCCCAAGCCACATCATGATCACCAGATCACCAGATCAACAGATCATGGCAGATCCAGATCGAAGTCAAGAAGGAGGAAGCCGGGGGCGTAGGGCAGGTTGTTGCCGCCGTCGCCGCCGGGCTGACTCAATCGTGGACGGAGCACGCTAGACTCACTGACGGCCACTTGGAGGCACTGTTAGAAAATAAGGGGAGCTTTGAAATACTATATAATATATAGATATACATTTCAGCATCTTTATTTATTTATATATATATCTATAATTAATTTAAGTTCATTTTGTTAATACTTCTTTCAAGAAAATTGGTCCTAGTCAAAAGGAAAAATTGGGTTTTATAATGGAAGTCATAAGCTTAAAACGCAGGGAAGTAATCATTTCCGACCTATATATCATATATATTCTTGATCAGCATCAACAGGGGTATCTTTCTAGCTAATTCAGACAAAAAAAATTTCAAAAATTTTCAATATTTTGAAAAGAAAAAAAGAGGTTACATCGTTAAAATGTTAAAAAATGCATAAAATTTAAAAAAATTTAAATTTAAATGGAGTAGGCAGATTTATTAAATATCTAAAAACTACTATAGAACTACTTTCCGATTGAAAATTAATGCATTTTTGGCTTAGTTATGAATTTTTTCAAATTTGATTTTTCGAAAATTTTTTGAAATATTATATATAGGTTTCTAAACGTTGTCTCTAGGTTTTTAAAATCCATTTCTTTTCTGTCAGTGGAAGGCAGCCCACAGCCTGCCTGGTTAGCAACTTGGCACGTTCGACCCGATTTGATACAATTCGATCCGAATCCGAATCCGAATCGAAATCCGAATGCGAATTGGAATCCCGCAACATCCGCAGCTCCCCCCGATGAGCCGGGCAAAAACCGGACCCGGACAACAGCGCCCCTAGATGGGTGTGCGTGTTGGCCAGTGCCAGCCTCAATGTCTGGGTGTGCCGATGCCAGTGATCACAGTGAATCACTTTGGGGTACTTTACATTTTACTACAAGTACTATATGCAGTATCTCTATAGACATTAATTGATGGTCTATTGGACAAAGGGTTAATGTCCGGGTGATTTCCTGCCTAAGCAGTAATTATTTGCATTTAAAAATTAAATGAAATGGAAGATGAAGTATGTAAGGAGAGGGAAACCCTCTTCTAAAAGGTGACTTTTTAGTCACTGTGACTAAAACCTCTCGACCATCTCTGGTGCTGTTTGGTTGGTGTGCCTCCAGCGTGTTGCGCTCGACTAATTGAGTTTGAATGGGAGCAGGAAGCAGGGGCATCGGGACGCGAGAGGTGGCTCTGTGAGATTGAGACTGGTCCATTGGTGACCAAAGTGGGCGGGCAACGCAGGCGATCATTGTCACGACACACACACAGACACACACGCAGGTGTCAAAGCATCCGTTGCGTCCACTTACGTCGCTCTTGGACACCACACAGCGTCGTAGTCTTGTATTCATTCATTCATTAAACGAATTGGGCTGCCCATAAATCTTCGATTGGCTTCGATTCCGAGCACATTGCGTTGGCCGTTTGTTGGCCAGCGTCTGGCGCTGCAGGTGGTAATGCAAATTGCTGCCGGCTACCTGTCTGCTGTCTATATTTCCCTCATACCCACTATATATCATCACTATATCTGCCTATGTATATCCCTATAAGCAGGAGGACACTTACTTGTGACCCAGTTCATGGGTGATGGTGTGGGAGAGCATGATGCCATTGTCCTCGTTGACGCTGCACGATTGCTTTGGCTTACACATGCCACCCACATTGGCCAGGCCAAGGGTCCTGCAGGGATCAGAAATCATTATAGACCTAAAGGTTATCTCCTTCCCTATCCCTAAGTACTACTTACATGCAATTATTGGCACAGATATTCTTGCGTGTGATGAGTATAGCCACATCGTGATGATGAGGATCCTTCTCACTGCCCTTGTTCAGTTTGTGCTGCCAACTGTCAACGGATAATGGTTATAACCTAATCTTTTGATAAGTCACACCTCTTTGAATACCTGCAAAATCGATCCAAATTCTTCTGAGCATTCTGTGTAAGATTCAGTTGCTGCTGTGACTCCTCCTCATCCAACTGAATGATGCGCACCACCACAATCTCAATGGAGTTGCCAATGCTGGGATCCTTGTACAGCGCAGAAACCATATTCATAATGGTCAGGAGGTAACCATTGAGGTCCTTGTGAAATGCCGACATGGTGGCATCGGCCACAATCAAGGTCTCCACATGCCTTGGACTGCTAATGGAGCGCCTCCGTCGTGGTATCTCAGGCTGTTGGAACTGTTGGGTCTCATACTTGAACTTTGTGCGATGCAACTGCAACTTCCGGGGCTGTGACTTCCGCTGGTGCTGCATTCGCCGGTGGTTGTGTTGATGATGCTTGTTGTGGTGCCTCCGCCGGATCTGACGTCCTCCCTGGATCTTGACCTTACCCCTGGCCTGCCACTCCAGCCGCGTCTCCATGCGTCGGCGCGGCTCTCGTGTGCCGCAGTTACTGACCTCTGAGCTGGGGGAACCCGTTCCCGAAGATCCACCTCCACGTTTGCGCTTATTACGCATCCGGGATTGCTGAAGAGATGGAAGAACTAAGTTCAAACATTCTCCTACAGGGATTAGTTGTGTCCAGACTCACCCTTGGCTTCACGGAGGAACGCTGGAAGACAATGTGCGGATGACCGTTGACAGGATGAGCCTCGTGCTGCTTCGATGGCTCAATGAAGTACTCATTGCTGGCCGTGCGGATGTGACCCACCTAAGGATAAGCCAAGTGTCTTAGCTTAAATGGAGCAACTAAAACCAGAACACACTCACCAATCCCGAGCAGGTGGAGATGGCCACATTGGTATCCGGCTGACCACGCACCTTGCCATGGAAATGACAGTTGAGATGCCTCGCCGTCAGCGTAGATCGGGTGCGAAGGTCACGACGATGCCGCTCCACCACCAAATGGGGAGCCAGGAAGTAACTATGCGCCATTAGCTCCAAATGGAGCGTCTCATTGGCCAGCGGCAGCTGCAAATGTAGCTCCGCCGCCTGTCCCTCGTCCTGTTCCAGGAGACTGCGTCGCTGGCGATGCCGCCGATGATCACGATCATGGGCATAGGCCAGAGAATGTGTCATAAACTTCCCATCGGCATGGACGCGACGGGGGACCACCAGTTGACCCTCACCCGCCACCAGTTGATCCGAATGGAGTCCCACCAGTGGGACTGTGACCTCTGCCGCCTCCGTCTCATTGGGTGCCTCCAGGGCCAGCCACAAGCAGAGCAATGTGATCCGCACACGCCATCGAGTACGCATCCTGCTGATGCTGTCCATGACCCGAAACCTGATCCTGATCCACAGCCGACCTAGCCGTTGTCCAGGCGTTGTCTCAGCAGCATGGCAGCGTTGGCATACTACGGATCTTAGTCTGGCCAGGAAGAGGGGTTGCTGAAAATAAATAGTCATTAGTTAGGTAAGTTATAATTAAATGTTCCAAAATAGTTTCACCTTCTTCCTTTGCTTAATTAATTTACAAATAATTAAATAGATAATTCCATCGAATTCGAGATCATGACGCAGTTACCTCTTCCGATTTCAGTAGCAAAACGAGTGGGTTTTAATAATATTATTAATTCTTTTTTGTTTGGTTGTTACTGATCAATCAATGAAGGAATGAGGCAATCAATCTTGAAGTACTCTTCATATTTATTTATTTTTATTTGCTGTTTGCGGCTTTTGCCGATCATCATTGTGGTTTGGGCCTGGCGCCACCGAGTTCCACCAATCATAACTACTCTACTCCATCTCATCTCATCTCATCTCATCCGATCCTATACGTTCTGATCCGATTTGGTTAAGTGGAAAAGTGACACCGGTCTTGGATTCATCAATCCCATCACCAACATGTACACAGAACCAAAATAATATGAACTATTTAAACGATTATCAGATAGAATTATCGATATTTTCGATAACAAAAGGATTTCTCAGTAAAAAAAAGTACAGTCTATCTATCCTTTCAGTTTTTGATCGTGTAAGTAAAAAATTAAATAAAAGTATATTATAATAATCCATGAAGATACTTAAATATATTAAAATGAACCATAAACTATAGGATTATATTAAATAGATCATTTTTTCCAGACTTATAATACTATGATTACCATAATAAATATTTCAATAACGTCTATTCTCTATACCCTTAAAGGGTATTTTCATTTCAGTCAGAATCATAAAACACAGTGAAGGAATCATTTCCGACCCTATATATCATATATATTCTTGATCAGCATCATCAGGCGAATCGATCTAGCTATCCCCGGAAGAAATATAAATGTATAAATTTTTTCAATATTTTATAAGGGGTTACATCGTTAAAATGTTCAAAAATTGACAAAAAATTTGCATTTTTTATAATTTTATATTGAGTATGCAGATTTGTTAACCAACCAAAAACTAACATAGGACAGCTTTCCGAATGAAAATTAATGCATTTTTGGCTGAGTTATGAGTTTTGTAAAATTTGCATATATGGAAAAAATCGTCATATAAAATTATCTATAATGTTTAAAAAAAATCTGGAAATTTTCAAATTCAGTTATGATCGATTTCCAATTCGATCCTACATTTCAATGGCAAACTGAAAGGATATGTAAACTTTGAGTCATTCGTTTCTAACTAATAGTATTCCTATTACCATATAATTATTTAAGAATAATCGAATATTTATTTATCTAAATCTGCAAATACCACTCCCTTTTTTTGCTGTGTATGAAATGATTATGGCTATAAAGGCCATAAAAAGAAAGAGACCACTTCCAGATAATAAATAAAAGGTGATTTGCTTTTTGGCTTTTAGCAAACACTTTCGAGATGTGGGCAGTCCGAGACGAAGACGGAGACAATGGTTAGGCCAAAAAATAGATATATATTTATATATATATATCTGTATATCTTAAGACCAGACACGGGCCATAAAATTAAGCAAATTTTCGTATTTTTTGCGGCTCTTCAAAGACAGTAACAATAATAACATATCGAGAATAGCAACAAATAAGAAAAAAAGGTTAGCGCTGTCTGGTCATTATCAAAGCAACACGACAACTTAATTATTCAAGAGATTGACGCAGTCATCGGCGCTCTTATCACGATCACGATTTGTAATTTATGATAAATGTTGGCAATTCCATTAATAAAATTAAACAAAAGCTCATTAGCCTCAAAGCCGATTTGCAGTCGAAAAGAAAAGCAAAAGATCGGACCTCCTTGCCACTCCAGAAAGTTTGTTAAATACTCTTTGATTCAGTGGGTTTCTTGTAGTTTCTATTAAATTTCATGCTTCAAATTATATCATAATAATGTAGTAATTGTAATTGTAGTATAAAATAATACAAAGTATTTAAATAATTAGCATATTTTTAAGTGCTTCAAAGAGAACAAAATGAAATTATCAAAAGAAGATGTCAATTCAAATTCGAAAAGCGAATACCTGAGAATTTAGAAATTATTCAATAATTATATTCCAATATATATACCACAATTTCTTTATATACTTTCTAATTAAGAGTATACCCTACAGAGAGAGTATAGAGTATATAGCATCCGCCTGGCGCCAATGACCTTGGCACTGGCGCCTCCCGGCACAGGTGCCGTTCTTAATTCTAAATTCAATGCGATCTCATCATGGCCATAATGATGGCAATAAAATATGCGCTTAAATATTGGTTATACCCAAAAAAAATTCCCACTCTCCACAAAACCTTTGCCATTCCTGTTTAGCGATATATATTTGATATTCTATGAATCGCGAACGAATATCGGTATTCGAGTTTTGCGGCAAAACATGAAAGACTTCCCCGGTTAAATTAGCAAGCGCCACATGGATCGATCGTATATATATTTAAAAATGTTGCCATTGTCCGGTTGTGCGCTGTCCCATTATGCTGCAGTGCCTCCTCCGAGAGGGGGCAGTCGTTGGGTGAATGCCAGTAGGCGCCACTCTTAATTATCAATCAATCAATCACTGCCGCCCCGACGGCTCCCTCCATTAAAAGTCAGCCAATTGATTGCAGCCTGCAGACAGTCTGCCAATGGCTCATGGCTCTGGCTCTGCCCAGATCTTCCTGGTATTACCTGGAACCCCCTGCCTTTTGATCAATGATGATCTTCAGGAGACAGGAGTAGGAAAGTAAGGAGGAAGTCTATATACAAGTCCTAGTCCAAATCAGTGAAAGTTTAAATATTTTATTTACTCTTTAAACCTTTAAAACCCCTCTTCCTTTGGGCATAACTTAGCATATATTGAGGAACAGAAGAATCCATTTCCATTGAATGTTAAAATCTTCAATGAAAAGATCTGCCTCTGTGGGTATGATCGAAATTCTAAGAAATGATCTCATGTGATTGGAAATTTCACTTGAATTGAATAACAATTTCCTCCAGTTAGGGAAGTCCCCCGTCCAAAACCATACCATATTATTTCTTCCACCAAATCGTTGGCGTTTTTTTATGGCTTCACTAATTTCAATCTTAATTTGGGCAATTTTTTAAGCAATTTATCAACAGAGATTTGTCACCTCTGATTTTGGTCAAGCTTCGATCGATCGATCATCGGTGACGAATATGTATGTATGCTAATGAAGGCCCAAATCAAGATCGGATATATCAGTTACTCCTCCTCTTTCCTGGTATATATATATATATATGTATATGTATACATATATATCCGTAGAAAATCGCGGTGAAAAACCGCTCTGCCTGCGAATTTCCGATTTCACTTTGTGTGTGTGCCTGCCCCCCAGTCGAAGTCGAAGGCAATTTGGACGCCCACCAGTTTGCCGGATCAGACTGGGCCACAGACCGGACCAAAAAACACAATGTATATATATATATGTATAAAAAAGAAGCAAAATAAATAAAATGGGAGCTGGGAGCTGGGAGTGGAGTGGAGCGATGGCTGGAGGAAGCTCCATTCATATGTTTTGCCATTCATACGTTGTAGTTTCATTGAGAAACACACACATGCAGAGAGCATGGAGTGTGTGGATTTTGATAGAGGTTTCTCTATACCCTTTCTTATAGTTATTATTGGATTAAATCAATTAAAAAGATGAATAATAATATATATGCATTTATTGATATTTAATATTGCATCAGTAGCTGATAAATAAATTTGTTTATAATGAGCATTGTTTACCCGCTGCCTCTTACTCTCCAGCTCGCTCACTCTCTCCACCTCTCTTTGGGTGCTGTGCAGCTCAAGAGGCAGCCCTTACTCTCTAACACTCTCACTGCCTTTCTCTAGGGCTAGCGCTTACGCTCCCGCTCACACATTCTCTGCTCTCTTTGCTCGGGCACTATAAATACAGGGCGCTACCGGCCCTCGGGCCTCATTCGGTGCGCGGAGTGGCTGCTGGCAACATCTATGGTGAAAGTGGAAGTGATCGTGATAATATCACCTGCATCTGGATAAACAGGAAGAAGCTCTACACCGGATGCAAGTAAACAATGACGTGTGCCAAAATTCTTTACCGAATGGAAGTAAACAATGACGTGTCCTTAATTTCGGTAAATCTTAACTAAAGTGGGAGTGATAGTGAACCAAATTAACATCACCTGCACCCAACGCAATGCATCTGGATAAACAGGAAGAAGCTCTACGCACTGGATGGATGTAAACAATGACGTGTCCTCAATTCCGGTAAGTCTTACCAATGACAATTATATCATATATATATATATAGATACTATCGGATTGATCAGGCCTAGGTCTATAATCAGCTGTGTGCACATAATTCGATCTTGATGATTAAAGTTATGAATCTAAATACTGATTTATGATCAAGATAGTTTTGAGAGCTAATCAACTTCAAAGATAGTTTCATTATATTTTATTTTCTTGCAGAGCTAATTAACTTTCAAGATCCTTTCATATAGATACTTTATATCTTTGGTTTTGTAGATCCTAAACTTTGTTAAAAAACATGATTATAAATAACAACAATTGAACTTGGTTATATCTTAAATGTTCCCTTGAAATGTTTGGTAATAAATTGGATACCTGTTAATTTCCAACTCAATCAGTGAGGAATATTAAAATTTTTGAATACTTAATAAAATATATAATTTATAAGAGTATCCACACGCTTTGGTGCCTCATCTGTTTTTCATTTATGGCTATTTTTTTATGAATGAAATGAAACTTTTCACGTAAAAGCGACGCTTCCATATTGCTCGCTTGGCCACGGTTTCGGTTCGGTTCGGTTTGGTTTGCTTTGGCTCGGGGTTGGGTTGGGCTGCTCCCCTTTCGCCGATCCTCTCCAGAGGCCCGCCCTCGCCCTCGGATCACCACATCGATGGATCGCACGTTGTACTCCAGTGTTGTTAATGTTTTTTTCGCTCCTATCTCGGGGCACATTTGAATCTCTATGGCTTCTCGC